CCGATCAAAGTGTCAGGAATATTCAAAAACTTTAGTTTTATCAAATTGGCTTTGGAATGTTGGTTTTCTTAAGATTTTTATTTTTTTCAGAAAACGGTGGTTTTTGCAAACATATACTACTTTATCATTGTCTTCGTCTTACTCACTATAATCAATAAGTAAACCTTTAAATGTCATTTTCATTGAAATTAAACTAAAAACAAGTTTCCTATAAATTATTTGGGGAATTTTAATTATTATAATCATTATTAATTAATTATTAAATTGAATTTTAAACAAAAAACCCTTTTAAAATGTTATTTTTGTTTTCCGAAATGAGATGTGGCAACGTTGCTTTTAGTTGGCCATTTTGAAGTGACGCCTTGTAATTTTTTGCCAGTTTTTCCTCGAGTTTTTCACTTTCCCGGGGTTTTTCAATGGAAAAAAGCAATTTAACATACGAGGCTTTGAGTTTTCTTCATTTTCTAGCAAAAATGTCCAGTTTTAAAATAACATAAATAACAAAATCCCATTTAAAATGTTTTTTTTTTTTTGGAAGTTTTGATGTGGCAACACCGTTTGTACCAACTTCAAATAGGTTTTGTAATAAATGTCATTTGCCAGTTTTGACAATCGGCAATTTTTAATTGACGTGTTTACATTTCTATTCAGCTTTTCCTCGAATTTTCCACTTTTCCAAGCCGTTTTCAGTCAAGAAACCCGATTTGAAATACGAGGCTTTGAATTTCCTACATTTTGTGCTAAAAATTCCCAGTTTTCCAATGGGGTAAGTGACAAAAACTCAAATTTCATTAAGTAGGCTTTGGAATGTCATTTTTAGAGGTTTTTCTTTGAATTTGTCCGCTTTTCCAGGGCTTTTCTGGTCGGAAAAACCGATTTAAAGTACGAGGCTTTGAGTTTTCTTCATTTTCCACCAAAAATTTCCAGTGTTTTAACGGGGTGAGTGAGTTTTATCAAGTAGGTTTTGGAATGTCATTTTCGTTGGTTTTTTTTTTTTGGAATTTTTATTTAAGGTTTTTGGGGTCCGGGGATCGTTTTCTATCACTTTTTTTCTCGAAATTCGCAAAATAAAAAAAAAAAACTTTTTTGACGTTGACAGCTGTCAATTTTTTTTTGACACAAATCGATAGTTGGCGTCGCGAAACTGCCTTGTACCGGGGTTTGATTTTCGTAGCTTTTATAGTAGAGCGGGAAAAAAGTCGAACATGTGTCAAATTTGACAGGTGACATTTGTCGATATTGCCAAAGTGTCCTGCGACAAAAGTTTTATTCGAACGAACCCGTTCATTGTTAACTGATTTTTCATACTCCGGCCCTTCGGGCCGTAATCTTTGAAACAAAAAGATGTCATTTTGTATCGATTGTCAAAAAAACCCAAGGTTTGAAATTTCAATTTTTTCACGTTTGTTGTATCATGAGCAGCGTTGCCATATGTTTTTATTAAATCTCGATTTATAGGTTATTTTAAACCCAATCATTGACATTTCTGAAAAATATTTCCTTTAAAATTCCCAAATATCCTTTGGAATCCCCAAAAATATATTAAAATCTCAGAATTCCATAATTTAGTGGAATTTCGGTAGAATAATTATCTTATTCTGAAAAAGGAATTAGATGTGAAATTTTTGCGGAGTTTCCATAGAATTCACATTAAATTTTAAATCCTCTCGAATTACTTGAAATTTCAGTGAAATTCCGATTGAATTACAGGAAATCCTAAATGAATTACATGGAGGAATTTTAAACAATTAGATGAAATTACACCGAAATTCCCAACATGGAATTTCGGTGATATTCCGAAAAATTACCATGTAATAACATGAAATTTCAATATATTTCGATGAATTTTTAAGAAATTACTTGAAACTTCATTAATATTCCCAGAAATTCCTGGGTATTAAAAGAGAATTTCAGTGAAATTCCAAAAAATTCTTATGAAAATAAATTAAATTTTGAAATTTCCTTGAAGTTTCATTGGACTTTTGAGAAATTTTCGGTTATGAACGTGGATATTCTCATAAAATTTTAGTGAATTCCGAGAAATTTTTAAGAAATTACATGAAATTCCAAAAAAATTTATGAAAATTTTGTGGAATTCCAGGATATTTCAGTGGTTATACAACTCACTGTACATTATTCCCATATGATACGAGAGGCTTAACAAGTGATAAGCCTTTTGGGATTATCGCGCTTGGTGGCAATATTGCATTTGGTATTGATTGATAATAATAAAAATCAATAAAGTATTAAAGTTTAGTTCGTTGTATAACCTTTTGAATACCACTCGATGTTTCTAGATTACCTAATACTTTTACCTGACACTCAACGCGTTACCAGCAACACCACTCCTCCTTCGGAGTCGTGGTGTTGCTGCGTAACGTGTTTCGTGACAGGTAAAAGTATTATCCGGTAATCCTGAAACCTCTTGTGGTATTACATTCGATAAAATTTTGAGGAATTTTAGTAAAGTTAAAAAAAATATATGGAATTTTGAAATTGAAATCTTAGTGGAATTCCGAGGAATTTCATGAAATCCTATACTGTAATTAGCCTCCTCACTTGAAATAGTCACGAGCCGCCAGTGAATCAGAAGAAAAAAAGCTATCATTCTAGCCAAAAATATTCAGGGTGTTCCATTTGAAAAATGCAAGTGTTTGTCATTGTGACAGTTGGCACCTGTCATTCGCAAAAAATAATAGACATAAAAACCTACGAGCCGGTTTCTCAATAGCGAGTCACCAGTCACCTCCGGGTTGGTTTTAACTCCAGGGTAAGCGTGTCCAGTTGCTATGTTTACCCTGGAGTTAACCTTAACCCGGGGGTGACTTGCTATTGAGAAAACGAATAACTTTCATACCTAAAGTTTTTTTCCACCTCGTATAGCTAGAGTTGTAGTTAGGGGTCAAAATATGAGGAAACACCCTGTACAATACAGCGAAATACTGTACGTATGTCTCGGTTGGAGGTTGGAGGGCCGGCTACCAGTTGAGAAAAGTGCTAAATAATTTAATTAACCAACAATATGTGATAAGAACGGTGCCACAATTACCGATTTATCGAAATACCGAGAATCTACCGAAAAAATAAAAACCATATGATTTGAGATTTCTAGGTTAATTTGCAGTAGAAATAATAATTTTCAGTGAATTCTATGAGATTTAGAAGTTTCGTATAGGATTAAGTTTATTTGTTGTCTCTGTTTTATTTTGGGAAATCAAAAAGTGCCAATTTTTAGGGTTCGGTAACCTATTTTTTGCGAGGCTCTTTAGGGCACGAGGCCGCCGACGTCGCCGACGCCTAGCTACGCCACTGTCAACAAAATTTCTATTTTCAGCTTTTTTTCGCATATTTTTTTAAAAACAATGTGGTGCACTGCTTTGTTTAACAGGTAGCTAGCAGTGCATGCCACATCTCGGAAACTGCAAGAGCACAAAATTTGGTAACTTGGCATTTAATTAGCACTTAATCAGCAGCACTAACTTATTCCTATATCGAAAACTCTATCAATCCCTTCTTTCATGGAAACTCAATATGTGTACTACATAAAGCTAGCTGAAAATAGAAATTTTGTTAATGGAAATGGTAGCATTTAATAAGCATTCAATTTTTTTCATCATTTATATCACCCTACCACTTTCCTGGATTATTCCTGGATGGTGCACTGCTATCTTTAACGGGTATAGCAGTGCAGGCCATATCTCGGAAACTACAAGAGCACAAAATTTGTGAACTTGGCATTTAATTAGCACTTAATTAGCACTAAATTATTCCTATGTCGAAAACTCTTCCAATCCCTTCTTTCATGAAAACTCAATATGTGTACTGCATAAAGCTAATGTTGTTTTTAAAAAAATATGCGAAAAAAAGCTGAAAATAGAAATTTTGTTCATGGAAATGGTAGCATTTAGCATTCAATTTTCTTCATAATTTATATCACCCTACCACTTTCCTGGATTATTCCTGGATGATGCACTGCTATTTTTAACAGGTAGCTAGCAGTGCAGGCGATATCTCGGAAACCACAAGAGCACAAAATTTGTGAACTTGGCATTTAATTAGCACTTAATTAGCACTAATTTTTCCAGTCATAAAAATTTTGCACTGCTAACTTTATATACGTAATAAATAATTGAAATGAAAATTATAAATGATAGCCTGAAAATACTGACTGAATTTATCTTGGCTTTAAAAGATAATATTCCAAAAAAAAAAAATGTTATGAAGCAATACAAAGTATTCAAGAAGCAGTTGGAAAAATGCAATTTAAATTGGTAAAAAATGATGTCACTGTTAATTTGGAATATATTGTTGAAAAACCAATGAAAAATGTTATTGGAAATCAACAAAATGTTATGCCAATTTATGCTCAAGCTACCACTAATCCATCAAAAACTGGTAGGTAACCACTATTCAATTTGATATTTTCCCAAAGAAGTTTAAACAAAGCAATGGTCATTCCGATTTCATCGTTTTAGTAAGAAGGTAGCTTCCTTATGATTTGGATTTTGGAAAACTTTGAAAGGTTATCACTTTTTTCCTATTATAGATAGAAAGCTGCAATTTTCAGCGATTTTTATTCTAGTAGAGAACTACAATCCCTGAAAATTTCAGCTCATTTGCACTTATAGTTCCTGAGATAAAATTGTGTTAAGCAATTTGGGGTGGTTTATCAATTTTTTAATTTTTCTGAGTGTCTTTTCATAGATTTCGGCTTCAAGTCTGAGAAATTATATATCATAGGGAAGAGCATCAAATTCTCTATAAATTTGTGCAAAATTGAGTTTGATAGCTCCAATAGTTTTTGAGGAATTGAGCCTCAAAGTTGACTAAGTCCAAAATTTGTCAAAAACTTCAAACTCAATTTGCTCAAAAACTATAAATGTGGGAATATTGTAAATTGCAGGCCAATTTAGAGCCTAATAATTCATTGAAATTATTTTTGTATTGTGATTGTCCTGTTAATAATAAAATTTTACATGCAAAATTTGAATTTTTTTCAGAAGAGACGATAAATGCGGCTTTAATGTACTGACAATACTAGAATGGCAGAAGCATGCCAGCCAAAAGAAAATAATTCATTCGAAGCCATTTGCAGCAGCGACAAATGTCACCCAGACGAAATCTCGAAACAAGACTGCAGTACCAGCCCTAGTCCTACCGAAACCGTTTGCATTCTAGACAGTACCGAAAATATAGCCGGAACGTCTCAGGAAAATAATATAGACGATGATGTTGATAAAACGCCATTCTTCAACGAATTGGGCTTGGTAGAAGAACAATGCGGCGATGAAAATAGTCAGGGGCGTGAGGATTGCGTCGAAATACTCGTACAATTTGTAGATAATCCCTGCGCCACTGCTCTCACTACTACACCGAGAAGTTCCCAAATTAAACGCAATGATCCAGATTACATCGAGCGCAGCTTAAGGAAAAGGAAACTGGACGTGCATAATGGTTGTCCGAACAAAAAGGCGGTTCCTGAAGACGATTGCAGGTCTTTCGATGATGACGATGATAATTCATCGAATGATGATACTGAAAATACCACAAAAAGCACACCAAATAGCCGGTGTTGGCCCGTTATACCCACCAAGGACAATCCGCCACCGGAAATGTCCAATTGGCTAGCGCAATTTTCGAAATGGTCCAATGCGGAAAGGATTATGGCACTGACTGAACTTATAGATAGATGTGAGCCAACACAAGTCCGTCATATGATGCAAGTGATTGAGCCTCAATTCCAAAGAGACTTTATTTCGTTGTTACCCAAAGAACTTGCGCTGAAAGTGCTTTCGTTCCTAGAGCCGAAAGATCTGCTTAGAGCTGCTCAAACTTGCCACAGCTGGCGCATACTGGCTGACGATAATTTATTGTGGAAAGACAAGTGTCGGGTGGCCGGAGTGGAAGAGGTTTCCAGACGGAGAGGTCCGCTGAGGACGCCCGGGCGGACCAATCATATGTCACCTTGGAAGGTGAGTTATAGTTGTCTTAATAATATTGTATTGGTTAATATTTTATATTTGTTTCAGAGTGCCTATATGCGGTATCATGCCATAGAAATGAACTGGCGTCACAGGCCATTGAGGACACCAAAAATGTTAAAAGGCCATGACGATCATGTAATCACTTGTTTGCAATTTTCAGATAACAAAATCGTCAGCGGCTCTGATGACAATACTTTAAAGGTTTGGTCGGCAGTTACGGGAAAAGTAAGTTACTTTTTTTTCGGTTCAAATATTGTTGTTAATCAATAAATTATTTTTTTAGTGTTTACGCACCTTGGTTGGTCACACTGGCGGCGTGTGGTCGTCGCAAATGTCCGGCAATATAATAATCAGCGGCAGCACTGATAGGACTTTGAAAGTCTGGGACGCTGAGACGGGCATTTGTCGGCATACGTTGTTCGGTCATACATCAACGGTTAGGTGTATGCATTTACATGGCAATAAGTAAGTCGGTTTGAATTTTTATTATAAACATAACAAATTAATGTTTGAAACTTTTGCTAAGAGATTAAAAGTCTTTATAAAAACTGTAATTTTGCTAAAGACATGAGTAGAAGGTACATTGCGCAAAAGGTTTTAAAAATATAGGTTTGATTTCACAGAATTCACAAATTAGTAAGATTGTTTTTGACTAATGCAAATCGCCAATAAATAATTTTCCAAATATTTTCAACCAATGAAATTCGCTCTAACTGATTTTTGATTTCTGTGAGAAGAGACCTTCAATGTATATAGGGTGTTACAAATTCTTGTGTTAGTATAGGGATCTTGGTAACCATAAGAGATACAGGGTCAGTTAAATTGTGATAAAGCTATATTTTTCGACTTTTGATTTTTCTTATTGAACTGTGGAGTTTCCGAAGAATTTTAAGAAAACACTCTTTTAATGGCGGGGTGTCTCACGGTCGGAAATAGGTGTACAAATCTCAAAATAATTTCCGGAAATGTTGAAAAATTACAGAAATTTCCTGTAAATTGTCACAAATTATATTAATTTTCAGAAATTATAGGAAATGTTTGGGAAATGTCAGGAATTGTTAGGAAATTATTCGAAATATTAAGAAATTTTTCTGAAATTAATATAGAAATTTTTTATCAGAAATCTTTCCCTTGTTCAGTATTTTGTAAATAAAAATACCTAACTTCTAACAAAATAAAGGTTAGTAACTAGTTAAGTAAGTAAGTAGGTACCTATGTATAAACACATCTCATTAACTATAGAAGTGAAGCCTTATGTTGTTATTTTCTACTGGAAAACATATAAAATTTTGGGAAAATGAGCTTCTTACCTTCCTCATTAAATGCAGAAAGTTTCAAATTTTTCCCTGCTTGTATGTACTAGTTTTCCAGAAAAACTATAAAATGTGTGAGACTGACGAGACTGTATTCTCAATTAATTCAATTATTGTTAGTTGATTTTCAATATTTTGCATGTTGTTATTTTCCACTGGAAAAATTTGAAATTTTGGGAAAATGAACTCCTAACTTTTCTCTTCACATGCAAAAACTTCCAAAATTTTGCCTCTATTGGTTTTCCAGGAAAACTTTGAAATGTGTGAGATTGAATTTTTAACTAATTCAGTGTTTGTAAGCTGATTTCTAAGACTCTACATGTTGTTATTTTTTAAAGGAAAATATTTGAAACTTTTGGGAAATGAACCTTTAACCTTCCTCTTTATATGCAAAGAGTTTCAAATTTTTCCCTGCACTAGTTTTCCAGGAAAACTTTGAATTGTGTGAGACCATCTTTCAATTAATTCAGTTTGTGTAAACTGTTTTCCAAGATTCGCTATATTGTTATTTTCCAATGGAAAAATTTGAAATTTTGGGAAAATGAGCTCCTAATTTTCTTTTTCACATGCAAAAAGTTTCAAATTTTTCCTTACATTAGTTTTCCAGGAAATCTTTGAAATGTGTGAGACAGTATTTTCAAATAAATCAGTTTTTGTAGGCTGATTTCCAAGATTCTTCATGTTGTTATTTTTCACGAAAAATTTGAAATTATGGGAAAATGAACTTATGGGTTAGTGAAAGTTTCAGTTCTACAGCTGTTGCTGTTAGTTTTCCTTAACTTCAGAGCGTGAAGCCATCGAATATTTATCTAATATGAGGGCTTACCACAACCTGTTCCAGATAAATGCATTCTCTAATGCTCGTGGCACTCTACTTGATCTGGTTTTCACCCAGGACCCCGAGGATATTTGCCTCTCAGTTAATGTCGTTAATGACTTTATCCTTCCCATTGATGCATATCATCCTGCTTTACTTTTTGCCATCTGCAACAGGTCACCTCACTGCAATGCTGACACCCGCCAGCCTGACGCGTACTATTATGATTTTGGATCTACTGATTACACACTCCTCAATGATAACCTTGAGATCGTTCGCTGGGATGACGACTTACTCCTGGGTCTCGATGTGACAGATATGACCAGGATTTGCTATGACGTTCTCTATACGGCTATTGATTGTTGTGTACCAATGCTCAGAGGTGTCATTGTTTAGGGATAAAAATTTGAAAGATTTCTAGAACTTTGTCAATACTAGACAACAGACTTATGGACTCCCTTCTTACATGTTCTATGACGGTAAATTTGCGTAAACTGGACCTGAACTAGTTAATCTCTTTGGTACCTACTTTCATTTTGTATACTCAAACAAAGCATGTGTTATTGGCTAAAGCATTTCTGATAGTAACACTCACATTCATGATTTTGGAATCCTCATCTCAGTTATTTACGAGGAACTGTGTGAGCTACAGATCTTTCGAGAACCTGACCCAGGTGGCATCCCTCCTCTGATGCTCAATAGGTGTAGCTTTATACTATCTCGTCCTTTGTTTATTTTGTTTAATGAATCACTTAGTAGTGGAGTATTTCCTGAGATTTGGAAGCGGAGTTTTATCACGCCCATCCATAAGACTGATGACAAAATGGATATTACCAAATATAGGCCTATCAGTATCCTTAACACTATCCCTAAAGGACTTTGAGAATATAGTAACTAAGTTCAACCCTTGCTTTATGGAACAGCAAGCAGGTTTCTGGACAAAGTACTCAACCGAAACTAACCTCCTAACGTACCAGCATAAAATCTCAAGAATTCTTGAAAACGGTGGAATTGTTCACTCCATATAATATACCGATTTTGCTAAAGTTTTCGACCGTGTCAACCAGAACGTCCTAATTGGAAACAAGAGCTTGGTGATAGTCCTGAAACAATTTATATGCGACGTTGCAATTTTTAACATTTTCATGTTTGGACTGGAAACAGCGCCACGCCACCACAGTTGTTTATTATTATAGGGCAATCCAACGACCGGTCAAAATGGAGGCCGATGCCTTTTTTTTTTTAAATCCGTTTTATTGCGATTTTTGATTTGTATAGTCTGTAAAGTGTTGATTTGTTGGAAAATGCATACATTATGTATTGTACTTAGTTGTGGGAGCCGTTTTAATCGCGAGAAAGTCTAGTTTCATATCGTTCCTGCAGAGACAAAACACAGGTTTTTAACGGAGAAAAATGATTTGTCTGTACTTTATGAGGGCTTCATGGATTGTAGTAAAAGAGAAAAAATCTTACGAAATTCATATTAAAAAACCAAAAAGTCTCTCTACATAAATGGTATTAGGATCCAAACCTCCACATCAGCTTGTGTCGATAACTTGAATAGCAGACAAATAAAATAAGTATCAGGAATCAGGATTCAGGATTTGGTTAAGAAAAAACTAAACAGTAAGCAAATCCTGGATAGTACCTTCCTAATTGTTTAGTAGGTAAAGGTTTGTCACAAAGAAATCATCACTGGCGTAGCTAAACCAAACGTGGACGTCGGCGACATCCGAATTGCGAGGCTTTTTTTATGAAGGGGTGGTCATATACTTTGTGACAAAAAACTAGATGTAAGACAGGGATGGGTAGCTGCCGGCAGGCCCCCCGAACCGAAAGATAACCGCGAAAGGCGAAAATTTTTTGAGTGTCACGCCACCTTTTTCAGGCATATCAACGGGGTATTCGATAGTCATTTTCAGTCAAAAATATTAATATTTTTCCGCTAAAAATCCTACAGCCAAAAATAAATTTCTCATTTATTACAGTATGACGCAAACATGGACCGACAATTTTTAGTAGGAATCAGGAAACCTAATTAATTTCCGAATCCCTGTATGTTAGTATGTTTATGTTTGCTGTTTGCTGTGCAAAATCAAATGCTGGATAGACTTTCAAAATGCTGTAGAATGTACAGGGTGTTTCCTTATATTTTGACCCCTACCTACAGCTTTAGCTATACGAAGTGTAAAAAAACTTTAAATATGAAAGTTGTAGGGTTTTATCTCTATTATCTTTTTCGAATGTCAAAATGGGCAAATGACAGGTGCCAACTGTTACAATGACAAACACTTGCATTTTTCAAATGGAACACCCTGTATATTTTTGTCTAGAATGATAGATCGTTTTCTTCTGATTCCAAACATACCATATACTTATGTTGATATTTGGTTCAGCTGTTTTTACGCTATACAAGTTTAAAAATGCATTTACATTACCCTTAATTTAATCTGTCCTGGTTTTTTATACCAATGATGAGGCTTGCTCAATGCAATTTTAAAATTGAATAGCGCAAAAAACAACGGAACCAAATATCAACATATATGGTATATTTGAAATCAGATTCTGATTGGCGGCTCGTCAAAGTATGCAGGGGAGGCTGAACCTCCCCCAAAAAATTGAAAATTCAATCTCAATTGGACGGCGTTATGCAAAAAGCTACCAACCCTCAATAGTGACAAATTGAGATAATCAGCTGTAAAGTTTTTGGTAATTGAAAAAATCTGTAGTTTGTTTAAATACTACTGTGTAATTTTTTTTGATTCTATATTGATCTTTTGATATCTTTATGCATGATTAAATATTTCAGATTTGGAATCAAGGTTGGAATGGCGCCTTTTTGTGGGTTGGTAGGTTTTTGCATTTTGCAGAGCGAGGAAATAAGGCAAAAGTAATGTTACAAAAAATGTCTTTATTTATGAAAAAATCAAAAAATAAACTTCTCAGCTATTAGGTAGTTTGTTTCCATCTTATTCTACTTCGTCCGTTTCAAAATCCAAGTCTTCAACGTTGTAGCCCTCAACATCTTCAATGATATTTATTGGCACCCTGCAAATTTTGATAGAAAGGCAATGCATCTGCTGGAATGAGATGCATCATTTCTTTCAAATTCTGCAACTTCGCTTCAGCGATAGGCTTACCATTGGGCCACAGTGGCGTTAGATCGCTAAAGATTGCTTCGTTAGCAGGTCTACCACGAGAAGGTTTTTTGATCGTAATGTTTTGATAGGGTTGTGAAAAATCATGTTGCTGTATCTATTTTGATGGCCCTAATCTTCAACCAATTAATTTTTTCTTTGTCATCTGTAATTTTGCGATTTGTAATTTTTTTTTCAACATTCATCACGCCCAAAAAATCTTCGGTTTGCATTTGGGTGACTACCAATGGTGTCTTCCTTCTGCAAGAACGCATTACCTCGATGTACTCTTTTGGAGTGTACAATCTTTGCTGTCGTTTAAGAGCTGACTCAATATCACTGAAGTCGGTATCATTGGGGAGGAAACTATGACCAGAACAAAGATATTTTATGGTAACGGTTTCTAAGTTCGTTTCTGTACCATGCAATATTGATTTGAGCATAAGTATTAATTTGATATTTCGATTCTGCCCGCCGCAAGAATCACACCAAAGGGTAAGATGTTTAACTCCTATAGGAACTTTAGCTTTTACATGTTTAATAAGGCAAGAGCCTATTTCTTGAGCACCTCTTCCAGCTGAACCTTCTACACACACATAGCAGTAACCTCTATTTTCTTTACCACTATGTATACCTGCGTTGTAAACCCACAGCTGGCGCTTATAAAATACAATTCCTGTAGGAATTCTAGGAAGCGGTAGGGTTTTTTCTAAGTCAAAACTTAAACATTCGTGATCTATTTCTTCTTTGGCTGTCTTGAAATCATCTCATCTCATTTTTTGAGCCTCCTCTGCCACTTGCAAATGCTGGATGTGTTCCTGCTTGAATTTTTCTTTGTTTTCTTCATTCTTTTCATTGTCTATCTTCATTTTGAGGGTGTCGCAAACATTGCAGGTATTTTTTTTCAATGGTTTTATTTTTAAATTAAATTTCGTGTAGAATATTTTCTTGTATGACATTAGGCTTACTGGATTGATTTCTTCCTCTTTGTACATGTCATACATTTTTTGTATTGTGGTACCAGGAGGTAAATATTCCGCGTTTGTTTGTTCCCGGCGGTAGTGTGAACTGTATTTTGGTATTTTATTAATATGATTAACAACTGCTTGAACTCTATCATCTGTTAGTTTGTTTTTACCTCCCTGCTTCAAGCCCCTCTGATCACCAATGGAAGCCCGGCCAGGGAATTTCCTTAAAGCAGTGTTTACTCGAAATGTAGTTACCTTCAATGTGTTTATGAACATTTCTCGACAAACCGTTATGTCTTTTATTTTATAAATTCGAGTGAATTTCCTTTTATCGGAATTTCTACCATAAGTTCTCTTTTTTCCAATCTCTGACACACTAGCAGCAATAAAATTAGTTTGAGTATCATATGAATTTAACGACCAAAATCTATCAAATTCGGATTTTCGACTCTCAATGCTAACTTTTTCTGCACATTTCAATGTGCAATTACAACGAAAATCGACAAACTCCTTCGGTTGTATTAGAACACTTTTATAGTTAAAATATGGTTTATTGCTGTACATCCGTACCTTTTTTTCTCCTCGACTTTGATTGGGAATTTTTCGTTTTCTGCCTTTCTTTGGTTTCTGCTGCATCGCTGGATTGGGTTCCTTAATGGCACCAAGTACGTGAGGGTCGTTATCCGCAACAATGTGCATTTTTTGACGTTTGTTGTATCATGAGCAGCGTTGCCATATGTTTTTATCAAATCTCGATTTATAGGTTATTTTAAACCCAATCATTGACATTTCTGAAAAATATTTCCTTTAAAATTCCCAAATATCCTTTGGAATCTCCAAAAATCTATTAAAATCTCAGAATTCCATAATTTAGTGGAATTTCGGTAGAATAATTATGTTATTTTGAAAAAGGAATTAGATGTGAAATTTTTGCGGAGTTTCCATAAAATTCACATTTAATTTTAATTCCTCTCGAATTACTTGAAATTTCAGTGAAATTCCGGTCGAATTACACGAAATTCTAAATGAATTACATGGAGGAATTTTAAACAATTACATGATATTACACCGAAATTCCCAACATGAAATTTCAGTTTTTACTGAATTTTAGTAATGCCGAGAAATTTCCAGCTAAAAACATGGAATTTCGGTGATATTCCGAAAAATTACCATGTAATAACATGAAATTTCAATATATTTCGATGAATTTTTAAGAAATTACTTGAAACTTCATTAATATTCCCAGAAATTCCTGGCTATTAAAAGAGAATTTTAGTGAAATTCCGAAAAATTCTTATGAAAATAAATTAAATTTTGAAAATTCCTTGAAGTTTCATTGGACTTTCGAGAAATTTTCGGTTATGAACGTGGATATTCTCATAAAATTTTAGTGAATTCCGAGATATTTTTAGGAAATTTCATGAAATTTCAAAAAAAATTATGAAAATTTTGTGGAATTCCAGGATATTTTAGTGGTAAAATTTTGAGGAATTTTAGTAAAGTTAAAAAAAAAATATGGAATTTTGAAATTGAAATCTTAATAAAATTCCGAGGAATTTCATGAAATCCTATACTGTAATTAGCCTCCTCACTTGAAATAGTCACGAGCCTCCTCACTTGAAATAGTCACGAGCCGCCAGTGAATCAGAAGAAAAAAAGCTATCATTCTAGCCAAAAATATTCAGGGTGTTCCATTTGAAAAATGCAAGTGTTTGTCATTGTGACAGTTGGCACCTGTCATTCGCAAAAAATAATAGACATAAAAACCTACGAGCCGGTTTCTCAATAGCGAGTCACCAGTCATCTCCGGGATGGTTTTAACTCCAGGGTAAGCGTGTCCAAATGCTATGTTTACTCTGGAGTTATCCTTAACCCGGGGGTGACTTGCTATTGAGAAAACGGCCCTATAACTTTCATACCTAAAGTTTTTTTCTACCTCGTATAGCTAGAGCTGTAGTTAGGGGTGAAAATATGAGGAAACACCCTGTACAATACAGCGAAATACTGTACGTATGTCTCGGTTGGAGGTTGGAGGGTCGGTTACCAGTTGAGAAAAGTTCTAAATAATTTAATTAACCAACAAAACGTGATAAGAATGGTGCCACAATTACCGATTTATCGAAATACCGAGAATCTACCGAAAAAATAAAAACCATATGATTTGAGATTTCTAGGTTAATTTGCAGTAGAAATAATAATTTTTAGTGAATTCTACGAGATTTAGAAGTTTCGTATCGGATTAAGTTTATTTGTTCTCTCTGTTTTATTTTGGGAAATCAAGAAGTGCCAATTTTTAGGGTTCGGTAACCTATTTTTTGCGAGGCTCCTTAGGGCGCGAGCCCTAGCTACGCCACTGGAAATCATAACATTTGCAAACATTCGGGTTTTCCACTAATAATTTCTTAAACTAACAACTTTCCATCTTAAAATACGAAAATTATCCTTCCAAACACTAGAAAATCATCTAAAAACACCACAAAAAACAGTTTTTTGATGAAAAATGTCATGGCTGTTTGAATTAAATTTATGGCGCCAATTTTTTGGCATTGACCGCCATTTTGTTTGGATTGCCCTATTATCTCGGCCTTTTGAGTGGACACAGAATATAATAACCTTTCATAATTTGATTATACTACTTATGATTGAATAAATTGAAAATTGAATAAAATTAAAACTACAAATTTTGTATTTTGAAGCACTGCCTTTTGGTTGAAGTGGAACTGGAAACTCGTTTGTTCTCCTACAGGGCGGAAATTTTTTTTATATCAAATTCGGGAAAAAATTGTTATTTTTCTAACAAGTGCGGGAAATACCATTTCTCGTAAGTGTTAAGCCTAGTACTCATAACAGCGAAATTCCGCTCGCAGACCCTGCCTACTCAAGAATTGGTGATCGTAGGCCTTATTAGGATGAGCAATTCTATTTACGATTGTTGGTGATTGTTGTATAAAAATGTCGAAAATTCCAATAAAATCTAAATCTTTCTTCGCACAAACAAACAAGCATCTGCAAAAAGTTTTTTTCTGGCCATTGAAAAATAAACAATTCTCGTCAAAAATAATTTTCTGTAACTTGGAAACATTACCTACATATTTAAAAAACTGCTGTTTTCGTCACTCGTTAAACAATAAACATTGTCCGCACCTGTTAGCAAAATCTAACCCAAACAAAATAATATACTTTGACGTCAATTTGGCAACGCAGCACTCCTTGCCTTGACCTTTTAGAATTGTTTTGGGGCTCCCATCAAGCTCTTGTCTACTTGGGAGGCTTGAGAGAAATGGAATTTCTGGTCTCTGTTTGCGTGGATCAGCGACTACCTTAGGAACAGAACCCAAACCTTCAAGATCATCAACTTCTGCTCACAGCTCATTGACATTCCCTTAGGGGTACCACAAGGATCTCACCTGGGACCCCTGCTATTCAATATTTCCATCAACGATATTTGTTCTTGTTTCATTAATAGTAAGTTCCTGTGTTTTGCCAATGACTTAAAGATATTCGCCCGAGTTTCCTCCCACGAAGATTGTGCCAGACTACAATCTGACTTGGAAAGACTTTCCGAATCGTGTGTCATAAGTGGCATGGAACTCAATGCCTTTGAATGTAAAACCATCGTTTTCTCTAAAAGTTAAAGCCCCATGCAATTTACTTACCACATAAGCAATGAACCACTTGAAACAGTGTCCCAACAAAGTTATCTCTCTGTCATTTTTGATAATTCGTTGAGCTTCTCCAGCCACCTTTCGGATATTGCTACCAGATCTTTGAAACTGCTAGGTTTTATTAAAAGGGATTTCACTAACATCTGTTTCAATCAGGCTTCTCTACTGCACAATGAGTACTGCTCCTGGGTTTGGTCACCTTATGTATTTTATCCACATCAACGCCCTGGAGCAGGTGTAGCGTAAATGTGTACGGTACTTGGCCTTCAAGACAGGTATACCTCCCCCCGAAAATTATATCTACAACTATAATGACCTCTACCGATATTTCAACTTGCAACCCTTAGCCGCCAGACGAAATCAAAGGGATTTATTAACATTTTTCAAAATACTGAACTCTCACAACGATTCCATATAACTACTATCCAAAATTGGACTTCATGCTCCAGGAAGAACCACACGCTCTTCCACTACCTTTTCAGAAAAAATCCACCCAGACTAACTATGGCTCAAACACTTTTATCTCCAGAGCTTCCCGAATCTTCAATGAGTTCAATGCCCTGGACTTTTTGAGTACTCGTGAAGACTTCAAAAGAAAGCTTAACTCCTTGAACAAAGTTCCTGTACCTATTAATTGTTAATGCGATATTCAGTGATAAAGTTTCCTGTTAATAAATAAAAAATAAATAAATAAATAAATAAATAAAATTAAGGACTTTGGAGTATGGTTTGATACCGAGCTGAATTTCAATCACCATGTAAATGCTACGGCGAACAGAGCACTCAAACTCCTCAGTTTCATTTTCCTAACGTTGAGAGATTTTAATTAACAACATAAATATAATTAAAAATGTGTACTGTTCAGTAAGTAGTACGATTTGTATTGGAGTATGCCTGCGTTGTTTGAGCTCCCCACTACCAAGCTTATGAAACTGAGCTGAAACAAGTTCAGAGAAAGTTTCTCAGACTTATTGCATATTTACTTAGAATATCAAAAGATGGAATAAATTACGAGTTGCAAAATCTTCTAAACATTACATCTCTACCTTATGTTTTTGAATATAATATCACAAGAGGTTTCAGGATTACCGGATACTACTTTTACCTGTCACAAAACGCGTTACGTAGTAACACCACGACTCCAAAGAAAGAGTGGTGTTGCTGGTAACGCGTTGAGTTATAATACGCTGAAACGTAAGCTGACTGAATTTTTTAACCATGGTAACTTTAACCAAGGTTAGGTATCTCTTGTGAATGACCATTGTTCGTTAATAAAAATCTATTTATCTACCTATCTATCTAACATTATTTGTGAACAGGTGGTAATTGATTACTTCTGCTTGGAAAGCAGTTGTGTGCCGTCTTAGTCATTATTGATTAATTACATTTTGAAATACATAGTTTATAAGTCTATTCCAACCGACAGACCTCATTCATAATTGTGCTTTTTTTCTAGGGTTGTGAGCGGGTCGCGAGACGCGACTTTGCGCGTGTGGAACGTCGACACCGGCCAGTTTCTGCACGTGCTGGTCGGCCATCTGGCGGCGGTACGCTGCGTGCAATACGACGGACGCCTCGTGGTGTCCGGCGCCTACGATTACATGGTCAAAGTATGGAAACCGGAAACGCAAGAGTGTCTGCACACTTTGCAAGGACACACGAATCGAGTTTATTCGTTACAGGTAAAATTTATAACATAAATACATTACTGGATGTGAATATTATTATAAGTTTTAACTTTTAAAAACCATGAAAAATCCTACCTCATACTGTATCTTTATCTGAAATTTTCTAAGGGCCATTTTTACAAACAGAAGTAACCACGAGACATTGGTAACTTACAGTATATCTGTTTCATATAATATGTGGATGGTTGAGTTAATCCTCATTTTGCAAACTTGTAGTTAACTTGCATAACCAGTACAGGTTACCACGAATTGTGAAATTGGACCTAAGAATGTAATCAAGAACTACAAATTCCTGATCTAAACACTGAAACTTTTCGATGAATATTTAGTTTGATGGCGTCCATGTAGTGAGTGGGTCTTTGGATACCAGTATTCGAGTGTGGGAGGTGGAAACGGGCGCTTGCAAACACACGCTGATGGGTCACCAGTCGCTGACCTCTGGCATGGAACTGAGAAATAACATTTTGGTGTCTGGCAACGCCGATTCGACTGTCAAAGTGTGGGACATTGTCACTGGTCAGTGTTTACAAACACTTTCAGGTACATTTATTCTTTCATATATGTATAGTTAAAACCAACTAAGACGAACCACTGACGAAGAAGGCAAATTTCCTTTTCTCTAGGGTGAAGTGAGACAAAAGATCACACAGTGGCTTCTTCTTAGTTAGGTTTTATCTATATAATATATTATTATTTGTTATATTCACTTGACTTTAGGTGCAAGCAAACATCAATCAGCAGTCACCTGTCTGCAATTCAACAGTCGTTTCGTCATCACTTCATCCGATGACGGCACTGTCAAACTTTGGGACCTCAAAACAGGCGATTTCATCAGAAACTTAGTATCACTAGACAGTGGTGGTTCGGGAGGTGTAGTGTGGCGTATCAGAGCTAACGAGACAAAATTAGTGTGCGCAGTAGGCAGTCGAAATGGCACTGAGGAAACAAAACTGGTGGTTCTCGATTTTGATGTAGACAGCTGCACTTGCCCCAATAGTGCCGCCACTGATGTGGATAGATAGAACTAGTGTTTTGCGGGGTGTGTCTCGCGTCGCCAACAGTTTTGAAGTGGGTCAGTGCAGGCTGTGGTTTATTTTGTTTTAATTTTTTTGGCCTGTTTGTGTAAAACAGGCTATCATTAGGCAACTAATTTATTTAATAATCAAAATTTAGTTATTTTTTTTCCAGTGATATTGCCAACCCAATTAAGAAAAGTGTTTCAGCGGTTATGATGGTTAATTTGTAAGAAAAAAAAACTCAAACAATTTCTATGTATTGTGTCCGAAAGTGAATTTGTGAATGTTGAATGAGTGTTATTTTTTTAAAAATGAAATTCTTATGCTCCTATTGTTGGGGGTCATTTCTAATCGATTAATTTTTAGGTTTAAAATTGAAATAAATAAATGTCAAACCATAATTTTTTTTTTTTTGGTATCGTTGAATTTTTAATTTTTACTGTTTCCTCCCTTTTCCAAGCTGATACCATTGTTGGAAATCTTAGGTGAGAGAAACAGAATTGGTTGAATTAGGATCAAATCAAATCAAATCAAAATATGCTTTATTGTTTCAAACAAAGTAATGTTGTAAACAAAGCTGAAAAAGGTAGGTAATAAAATAAAAAAAATAAATGAATAAATTCAGAACCTACAAAATCAAAAATACAATAAAGTGTACTTATATGACTTAGTTTACGTAGTCTAAATATATATGAATCATTAAATTACATAATTATAAAATTGAAACACAAACAGTAAACAGTTAATAAAATAATATAAAATCTTACATTTAAAAATAAAGCAGTACATTTACAATTTAACGTCATAGTAAAAAAAAAAACACACAGCACACAGAACAGTAAAAAGTATCCATAAGCACACCTTTTTTTGCTTAAATCATGGTTAAAATCTTTCATTGAAGTATTCTTGTATATCATAATAGGCCCTCGCAACGAGCAACTTTTTTACCTCCCTCCTAAATCTCCTTTCCTCATAAATCTCTCTAATACTGACAGGCAAATGGTTGAAGAGTTGACGTCCATTAAAAACAATAGAGTCATGTACTTGGGAGGTTCTGGTAACAGGTAACAACATTTTATACGTTTGCCTGGTGGCATAAGATGACGAACCTTGTTGGTTCAATGTGTTTCTATACTTTTTATGAATTAGAGATACTGTTTCAAGAATAAACAAAGATGGTAATGTTAAAATATTGTTAGCAACAAAAAGCGGTTTGCATGAATCTCTCAAATTGGCCCTGTTCATGTATCTGATTGCTCTTTTTTGCAAAATGAATACTGTATGCATTAGCTGTTTAGCACAAGAACCCCAAAAACATATTCCATAACGTAGATGGGATTCTATTAATGCAAAATATGCTTGTCTCGTAATATTTTCGTCTAATTCACCTGAAATTATTTTTAAAGCATAACAATTTGATGCCAATTTTTTATTTAGGTTTGCAATGTGGCATTCAAACTTCAATCTACCATCTATATGCAAACCTAAGAACTTACTTTGGGGTGTGCCACTTAATATCTGATTTTCCAAATAAACTGGTCCCAGGTTACATTTGAAAGAAATAATATTAGTTTTGGAAATATTTAGACACAGTTTATTTGAATCGCACAAGCTCTTTATTAAGGACAGGTCGTGGTTAATGGTTTCAGCCAAAATATGTTCATCTGTAGGTACCACTCCAGAGAATTGTTGCATCATCTGCAAACACTGTAAAGCTCCCAGAAATGTTAAGGTTTGCAATATCATTAATATAGAGTAAAAATAAAATTGGTCCCAGAACCGAACCCTGAGGCACTCCACTATTTAGAGTCTGTTGGTTTGATCTTATCCCATTATAAGATACAGACTGGACTCTATTGGTCAAATATGATTGAAACCAACTTAGTCCTTTACCCCTAAATCCATAAATCTCCAGTTTGTGACTCACACAATCGAAAGCTTTTGTCAAGTCACAAAACACTGCCGCTGCAACCTGTCGATCGTTCATCCTCATGTAAAGATCCTCCAGAAAACAATATAGCATCACTGGTGGATCTTTTCTCTAGGAAGCCAAATTGCACTGTGGTCAAGATATTTTTTTTCTTCAAAAAATTAAGGATTTGCCTTTTAACTATTTTTTCCACAACCTTAGATAAAGTTGGCAGCAATGCCACTGGTCTGTAGTTTGAGGGGCTTTCCTCATTTCCACCCTTGTATAATGGGACAATATTAGCGATCTTCAAACAGTGGGGAAAAATACCTGTAATAAAAGAGAGGTTCATAGCTTCTGCTAGCATCCTAAGTGCATTCACAGGAAGTTTGTTAAATATTTTAGAGGAAATGCCGTCCCACCCAGGCGCCTTGTTACCCTTCAGCTCCAAAATTGTTTCCTTAATTTCGTGTTCATTGGTGGGTACAAAAAAGAATGTTTCAGTTATATTTACATGATTTAAAAAGTTTTCAAAATTTAAATTACTTTTTATTAAGCTTGATAAATGGTTGGCTATATTGCAATAAAACTTATTTAAATCAGTAGCGTTTAATTTGGAATCCAAACATTCCTTAAGACACTTATTATCTCCTCGAAGTTCATTTACAATTTGCCAAGCTGTCTTCTGCTTATTACAGGAAGACGCAATTCTCTTTACATAATAAGATTGCTTAGCTGCCTTTATAGTTCTATGATATATTGATCTATACTTATTGAAATAATTTACAAAAAATTCATTACACATATTGAATTTTCTTATATAGTGGAGACATCTTAAATTTTTTGCTGAAACTCTTATTCCTTTAGTAATCCAACTTTTTTTTGTTTTTTGTTTTAAACGTTTTAAAGGAAAACTTGCATTAAAAATTTTAGCTAAAACAGAGTGGAAACCTGACAATGGATCTGCAGAGCTCAACACATCACCCCAGTTTTCCAAAGAAGCAAGTTGCGTGAACCTATCATAATTTTTTCTTGTGAACAATCTACCCCACCTTTTTGCTTTCCTTCTCTCTTTTTTATTTATTGCAAAACTACACCATACCGCCTCGTGATCAGAGAGTGCGCTATTTGTCACATTACATTTAACATCTCCTTGGTCAAAATTTGAAATTACATGATCTATTAATGTGAAAGAATGGGATGTTATACGTGTAGGTTTGTCAACATGCAGATGTAAACCGTAAGAATTAATTAGGTTGTGTAAGAAAATGGTGCTAATATCCCCCATAGACAAGGAATCCAAATTAAAGTCACCACAAACAATTATTTTTGATTTAGAAGGGAGAATGGAAATTACAGATTCGAGCCTTGCCAAAAAATCAGACACATTGCTGGATGGTGCACGATAAATACACAAAACATAAACATTAATGCTACTACTATATAAGATAAGATAAGATAAGATAATTTTTATTCAAGTAAAATAATCAACAAGTTATTTGCAAAATTACATCCCACGTAAAACCGTGCTCCATACAATTTATTTTATCTTTCCATTTGAATGTCATTTACCCTACAAAATTTATCAATTAGCATCATTACAATTTACAAAGGGAAACTAAATTTAATTAACCTATCAAAGCAAAAGTACTTATTGGTACCTAAATAACAGAGTTATTTGTATGTACCAGATTCCATTTCTTTCTTTTTTTTAATAAGTAATAATACTTTTTTTAATAAGTAATAAGTATTTCCTTAATATTAGAATAATTACTTAAAAAGATATTCAAATTTCTTATATTCTTTATATAAAAATTTCTTGCAGTTAATCTTAAACCTATAAATATTATTAGTCACCTTCAAACTCCTTGATAACATATTGTAGATTTTAGGACCGAGGTATGCTGCACTTCTTAGATTAATGTTATTAAAATTTAACGGAATTACAATGTCTGCATTTATCTTCCCCCGAGTTTCGTATTGATGGCTTATTATATTTTGAAGATATTTATTTTGATGGATAAATGCAGCTACCGATACCATATACAATGTTCTTATATTACATATTTCATCCGAAAAAAGTAACTCTGTAGGATACAACCTATTTTTGCCATACATAATTTTCAATATATATTTCTGCGCAACATTTAATTTTTGAAGAGCATTATCATATCCCCATACCAAAATTCCGTACCTAATCAAAGACTCGACAAGGGTTTTGTATATAACAGTTAACATTTGTCTGCTCAGAACCTGCTTAAGCAGGTAAAATTTACGAATTAATCCACGAATTCTATTTGATAGGTACTCAATATGTGGAAGTCACTTCAGAAACTGGTCAATTATTATGCCAAGATACTTTGTATGGGAAACTTCTTCAACTTTTTGATTATTGACTGTAATATTTGAGAAAGTAGGTCGGTTAGCACTTGTTAGAGAAAAAGCAATATAATTTGTTTTCTTCAAATTTAGAGATAATTTAAAACTTTCCAACCAATTTTTTGTAATCTTTAAACCCTGTATCATTTTATCTTTAACATCTTCCCAAGTATTGCCATTAAAAAGCAGTACAGTATCATCGGCGTATGATATTATAGATCCATTAACATTTAAAGAAAGTAGACCATTAATGTATGTGACAAACAAGACTGGACCAAGCACTGTTCCTTGTGGCACTCCCATCTTGATGACCCTTTCAACACTCAAAATATTATTAATTTTTACTATTTGAGATCTCTCATGAAGGTAGCTTTGAAACAATTTCCACACCGTTCCCCTGACTCCATATTGCCATAAGACATCTAGGAGTTTATCATGGGAAACAGTGTCGAATGCCTTGGCCAGGTCAATGAAAATGGCAGCACATTTTTTACCATTGTTCAAATGGCTGGTAATCTCCGATGTTAGTCTATGCATAGCATCTTCAGTACTACATCCCTCCAAAAAACCGTACTGGTTTCCTGACAGTATATTGTTAATTCTGAAAAACTCAACAAGTCTGTCCTTAACACACTTTTCAAACAGTTTGGCAAAGCCACTCACCAAACTTATAGGCCTATAGTTTTCTATCAGTGATTTTGAACCGCTCTTATGAACAGGTGTGACAACTGATGCTTTATAGTGGGAAGGCACAATTCCCGTTGCAAAACTTCTGTTAATTATATGTAACAACGGTTTCAAAATTTCAATATGTGTTTGTTTTATTAATTTAGAACTTACTCTGTCCAAACCTGGAGCACTTGTACTCTTTAACGACGAGATATGTTTGATTAACTCATTTTCGCATACTGGCGAAAGAAACATAGAATTTTTTAAACTAAAATCTGCTTTAATTGAAAATTTAGGTTTTGGAATTGTTTCTGCCATTTTTTCACCAACATTAATAAAATATTCGTTACAGTGATTGGCTATGTCTAAATCATTTTTCAGTTCAATATCAGCATTATCCGTTATTTTAATATTATTTATTTTGTCATTTGTATTTTCATATGTAACATCTTTGATTATTTCATATATTTTTTTGATGTTATTTTTATTGTTATTAATCTGAGTTTTGTAATATTCATTTTTTTGTTTATCAATCAGTTTATTTAATTGGTTTCGATATCTTTTGTATTCGTTTTCCAGATCAGGATCATAATTTCGCAGTAACTTTCTTTTAAGCTTATCTCGGTGTTTAATGGAGGTGATTATTCCATTGGTTATCCATTTTTTTATTTTTTTATACTGTTTTACTTTTTTGCTGTGTTGAGTAGTTGCTTGTAACATCAAGTCTTTGTAAGTTGAAATAAATTTTGAATTTGACGACTCAGGGTCAGAGTCATCAAGAACCAAGGACCAATCCTGAGCTCTTAGAGATGCTACAAACTTGCACAGGTCAAATGAACTGGTTTTTATTACTTCATTATTGTTATAGATTTTAGCATCCCTTGAGACCACATTAAGCATGGTAGGTCCATGGTCCGTCATGTGAGAGTCTAAAATGTATGTTTCTAAGGTTAGGCAATTGAGCTTTAGCCTGCTGTTAACAAAAATATGATCAAGACAAGTATTACTATCAAATCTGGTCACATTATTTATGTACGACTCGAATCCCAACTGAGACATCATTGACAAATAGTTATACACCTCATTATTCCCTACATCTAACAAGTCCATGTTTATGTCACCCAAAAAAAATTCAAAATTGTTATCACTATAACTAGTTATGTTTCCCAGACAAGTTTGAACATCTTCAATAAAATCCGTCTTAGATATGGGTGGCGGTTTATATACCGCAGTTATACCAATCTTGAAACCATTTACAACACATGTTAATCTGCTTACAGTAGCTAAAGAGATTGGTAGCCTGATAACTTGAAATTTGACATTATCAATATGATTCTTTACTAAAATTATAATACCGTCATTTTTGTTATAATCAGCATAATTGTAAAACATTTGATAACCAGGTATATTACATTGATCTATTGAGGAGATTTTAAATGTTTCACTTAAGACAATAATGTCATTATAATCCAATTCAAAAGTTTTCAAGAGCAGTATCAAATTATCAATATTTTTTACCATACTTCGAATGTTAGTATGCAATAAATTAAGAACAATATTATTTCTTTTTACTTTCTTTCGTAAACCATCACTATCCACTAAAATTGTTTTTTTATTAGTTTCAGCTTGCATGCCTTCTAAAAGTTCATCTTGCACTAATTGTACCATTATGGAAAGTCATAATTAGTTTTGCTTCTTATTAGGTCTATGTGGTACTTAGTGGAAGGACATTCTGGGTTTGATGCTGCATGATTTGTGTCATACTGTAATTTAAATTTGCTATTTGCATTACAGCAGTTTTTACATTTCTTTATTTGTTTTGTACATTCTTTACTATCATGGCGTTCAGCACAGTACTCACAGGTGACATTATTCTCGCAATTGCCACTTTTGTGAAAATATTCTTGGCATTTGAAACATCTACTTACACTTACATTCTCATATACACTGTATCTTTCCCATCCAATAGAGACTTTCTTCTGGTTCAACATTTTCCAATATAATTTTGGTGAGCATTCAAAATATATAGTTGATGTTCCCTTGAATGTTACCTTCTTGATGAAATTTATTGTTAACTCCTCGCCATCTTCTATCCATTCATTTTGCTGTCTTATTGTATGCTCCAATTCATTTTGAGCAAGATCACCGTTGTAACCCACAATTTTCATTCTGGGTGAATTCAATTTGGGTAGCTCAATATCATAACCGCCCCCAAGGCTATTTTCTGCGGCTTGTTTTAACTTTTCAATATCATTCTTCTCTGTGCACTTGACAACAACACACCCCCGTTTTGTTTCTCTCATGTTTTTAATTCCAATTTTCAGTAGGTTTGGTTGTATTTTTTCTTTTAAGTCATTTTTCGTTTTTTCAGAATTTTGTTTTTGTTTAGGTTTAATAATTAAAGATGGGGATTGTGCTTTAATTTGTGCATTCATTCTTTCATCTCTGCTTTTTAAAGCTTCTGCAAATGTTTTCGATTGGATTGTTCCTATCATGCTATTTTTAACACCTGTTTCATTTCTTAACTCGTTTATTTCTTTTCTTAAATTGCTTAATTCATTTTTCATACCTTCCAATAGCTGAACCATAAGTGGTGTTCTGGCCAGCATCCCTTTACATTCATGGCATAGTAAAACCAGTAATCTCTTTTGGAGCGGCATACATTTTATTTCTGAACCCGATAGGGCTGCACAGTTTTTATGGATTTCTCGTATACATAAATCGCACTTATAGCATTGGCCTTCGCCAACTGTTTGTTTACAGTTGGGACAGTTGTTCTCGTTGCCATCCATCACATAAAAAAGATGAACACAAACAATCGCATATGAAAATGCACAAAAAATAGAATTATTTAAATTAGATGGGATCCCTTTGCTGATAAGCTGTCCAAGTTCATGTGTTTTTTTGTTCTTTCGATTTATTAATATTGCCAAAAAAGTAAACAGATTTATTTTTTATTGTATCAATGGCTTACGCTGTCAAATCGGCATCTAATAATTTCTTCCATAGTATCAATGATAACTACACATTTTTCTCTCTATACAGCACACAACTCAAATAGGCGTTCTTCTTTGTGATTTTCAAAAGTGTCAACTGTTTTAAATAAATAATGAGAATAAAAGTCCTTGTGAATCATAATACTTACACCCCCGTACCCTGCTTTTCTACAAAATATGTCCAAAAGTACATAATTATCTAAGGTTAACCGTTCATATGGTTTCAACCAGTGTTCACATAATAATACTATTGTCGGGTTGCTTAAACCATCTAATAAAATATTCAACTCAGCTAACTTACTTCTAATAGACTGCATATTTATTAAAACTACGGTGAATTCGTTATTGCTCTGATTGGCTCTAAAAAATTTAAATTGGAAGTCTTAGAGGTGTGGACCTGGTAGACGGTTGTGTTTTATTAACAACATTAAAGAATTTTTCTCTACTTATTGTGGGTACAAAGATCAAATTTTTTTCATTTTTTTCCTTCAAATTTAACTTTATCAGTTCTGCTATATATTCGAATTTCTTTCCTTTTTTTGCTTTAATCAGACAGTTGAGGAGTAAAAATCTACCTTCTGATACCTGATTTACCTTCTTGGCAAAAGAATAAAATTTTTGAAAAAAACTATTAATTCTTTTGGCAATAACGAACTTGTGAGTAGCAGGGTGTCCTAAAATTATTATATTTGTTTGTGTACAAAATTTAACTCTATCCCAAATAGCCCTAATTTTTGGTATTTTACCTTGTTGAAACTCATTGGATCCAGCCAAAACAATTACACAGTCAGACTTAGTAAAGTCCTTAACAAGTTGTTCCATGTTATGTATAACATCCACATAAGGGGCACCAGGTTTGATTATACACTGCACACAATAGTCTTGTTTAAACTTCTTTTCCAGCAATCCATTTAAGCCTCTACCAGCTTCGTCACAAAGAATTAATATTTTCTTCCTTTTGTCCTCCTTTCTGAGCACTTGTTTGGAGTAAGGTATGTGAGAATTATTTTCTGGTTTTGCATTAGCCTGTCACCATTAGAGTGTCGATTTGTTTCTAATGGTAAAATCGCATTTACAGATTTTAGTTTGCGAATTATGTCCTCTAATCTATTAATTTCACAAGAATATTGCTGATTTTCACTTTCTAAAACCTTTATAGATGTTAACATGCTTTCTGACATCTTACGAACTTCATCCATATCTGTTTCATAAGACTGTTGTTCAACGTTGTTAACAATTTGAATACTAAGAAGTTTAAGCTGTATTTCTTTAGTCTCTTTTAAATAGGCTTGATTATCCTTTTCCAGCGTTTCTATTGTGACAACCATGTCTCTGTTAAGGGCAGTTAATTCCTTTATTTTTACTTCTAAAACCTGCTTTGCGTCCCTTGCAGATTCTAGTTCAGCATTTATTTTTTCTTTGCTGCCTTTTATTTCCTTAATTTCCTCTTCTAATGCCGTGTTGCGTTTGTTTAATTTTTTTAGTTGTAAAACCAGTGTTTTCTCCGCATTGGAGACTTCTTCTTCGAAAACTTGACTGTTTCTCTTGAGCCTTTCTAAGTACTTATCCTTCTCTCGAATTTTCTTTTCAAGCGATTCTATCTTTTCCTGAAGTGTCGACAGTTCATCCTCATGTTTGTTAGCATTTTCCTGGCAGGCAGAAGAACAGAATATTCGATGATAACCACCCAACTTGATGATATGTTGAGATCTCTCCATACAGCTGGGGTGAAATATACTATTGCACTCTATGCAGCAAAAATTTGTGAAATCTTTATTTCTGCAACATTTAAAAGATTTCTCCATGATGTTTTACTTTAAAAATAATGACATATAGAGTCTTACGCTAACGCTATTTAGATGTAGTGCGAAAATGCTTATGAGCGTCAAAACCATAAACACAAATTTGAATATTTATCAGCTCAGGGTTTCTTATCAGTTAATCCCATTGTTGCGAATTTTAGTGCAAATAAATATAAATAGAACACTACTATTGTTTTTGGTTAATAAGTATTAAATCTTTATACTCAGCTTGATTTCAATAACGGCACTACAAAGAGCACTTAATAACAAAAAAGAAGATATAAAACAGACATTTAAAAAGACAGTTTATGTAAGGTAAAAAGACAAAAAACTATGGAGCACAAATCGCGTTTATTTAGCCTTATGGAGGAACCAACCAATCTGTGAGATTTTCCAAATATTTCTGAAAAAAACCAACCCTGTATCTCTCACTGTTTCCAATATCGTTATAATGTGACTCGAATTTGAAACACTTTGTACAGGGTGGTTCAGTTTCTTCAAAAAAATCATTATTGATAATTCTTCAATGTGAAACATTTGAAACATTGGTAAAATGACAGCGTTTCTATGAGGTATGATACTTATGAAAACTTCAAATTCAATAGAAACTTTAAGACAAATATCAACTAATTTTCTTTTTATTTATTTATTTATTTATACTTTTTTGCACCTCAAATAATAATAAATTTCAAAATCTCCTACTCCTACTGCATCCTCAATGCTCCATCCAATCGAATAGTTTCTCCATTCAACAAGGGATTTTCAATGATAGATTGTACTAATTGGGCAAATTCAGCAGGATCTCCTAGCCTAGAAGGAAACGGAACAGACTTTTCCAAAAACGCTACAACTTTCTCAGGCAATTCCGCTAGTAAAGGAGTTTTGAACAGACCTAAAAAACCAAAAATCATTATTATGAAAATTGTAATGAAGCTTCTTTTAACCTGGGGCAACAGTAACAACCCTAATACCTTGCCCAGCAAGGTCTCTAGCTATAGGCAAAGTCATACTGACAATAGCTCCTTTGCTAGCAGCATAGGCAGCTTGCCCCATTTGTCCATCATATGCTGCTATACTAGCAGTATTGATTACTACCCCTCTTTCTCCATTACTATTAGGTTGATTATCACCTATTAAACCCACAGCCAGCCGAATTACATTAAAAGTACCAATAGTATTAACTTGAATAACTTTAGCAAAATCATCCAGCAAATGAGCTTGTTTCTTTTTAAAATTATAAATCTTAAACGCAGTTCCTATTCCAGCACAGTTGACTACATGATTCAATTTTCCAAATTTTTCTTTAGTTAAGTTTAAGGCGTTTTGGATGTCCGATTCTAAGGTGACATTAACTGGAGCGAAAATCACTTTTTCTTCTCCTATTGCTTTGGCTACTTCGTGGCCTTTGGATTTTGGCAAATCGCAAAGGACTACTTTGGCGCCTTGGGCTACTAGACGTTCCACTGTGGCCTTGCCCAAACCTGAGGCGCCTCCTGTTACCAAACTTACTGTACCCTGCAAATTTATACTACAGTATATCTATCTCTCTCAGTCTCACTTCTATTTTATATCAAAACACAATATAATAATTATTAATCTATTTTCTTACCTTCAGCATTTTTGAAATGTGTTTATTAAAAATTGTTTACAGTTAATATGAAAAATCCGAACTGGGAACCACTCTATTGTTGAATTTGAATTGAATTTACAATAATCTCATTTGCATTTCACAATGTTTTTCATACTTAAATATTTTTAGGTTAAAGGTTAGGTTGATAAATAAATAAAAGATAAACCAAAGCTTTGTCACTATTCATTTATATAAGTTAAAGAAGGATAAACAGACACGGCACACTAGAAATTAATAATTTGCTTTCTCATTATATATTTATCCTTCTCTAACCTACAAAATTAGAAGAGGATATACATTCAAGCTGTTACAAAGCAAAATGAAAACGCTACACTGACGAGTTTTGAAACTTGACAGACGATTGGGTCCTAACCTCAAAAGTAAACAATCGATTACTCAGCAAAAATTGGAAATTTAAATGTGAGTATTTTAGTGCATTTTTCAAATTATTTATCAATATTTGATTGTATATAGCATACAAAACTATTTAATCTTCCACTCAAACTGTGAGGGTTTCTTGCTATTAACCTTGATAGGTAAACTTTGCTTAGACGAGACCCTTGCATGTTTGTTAACTTGATATTGCTTTGTTTAATTGAAAACCGATAAAACAGTCTCAGTTTGCATTAAAATAAGATCGGTTTTTCATTATTTTGACATGACACAATCTAAGAAGTAATTTCTTTGAATTTTCAGCTCTGGAATCCATCGACTCACTGGAATTTTGGGATAAAAGGCTTCTATAACCATGACGGTTATAAATAAGGTAGACTTTAAGGGCCAGTTTCACAAACAGAGGTAACCACAAGACACTGATAACTTACAGTATATCTGTTTCATAATGTTTGGTTGAGTCAAAAATAGTCAATCCTCATTTTGATAACTTGTGATTAACTTGCTACTATCAGTTTGATAACCAGTGCAGGTTAACACCAATTGTGAAACTGAGCTTAAGTATACTATTTATTATTTTTATAAACTTAAATCCGAGCTTAAACCTAAAAATGGTCGTGTAAGCAAAAGCAATGCCAACCTAAAGTCTGTTTTTTTTTTTAAAGATAATTCCCCAAGTCAAAAATTTAGTAACCATGTTGGCAACACAAGCCTTTTCTACATAAAAAATTTGAAAGTATTGACAATTTTACATTGTATTGCCAACATAATGTCATTTTGACTTTTATCTTAAAAAAAAAAAAACAGACTTTATTGAAATTTGCATTCAAAAATGTAATGAGAAATATAATGTTTAACAAGTATAAATTAATAATAGGCCTGTTCGCACAGTAATCATAAACCAGTCAGCAAATTTTATTAGTTGAAAACAGTCAGAAACAGTCAAAAAACTAGTTTCAACCAATGAAATTCGCTTTGACTGGTTTCTGATTTCTGCAAAAACAGACTTTATGTGTATTATTATTGTTGTCCTGTTCCAATATCCTACTATTTTCAAATCTTTTATAACATTATCTTATTTATTTTTTGATTTTATTTATTTATTTATTTATTCAGCAATAACACTTGCTGCAGTAAATCCTCAACATATTCCTACCACTGCTTACTAAGATACAGTAATGCACTATCAATAGACACTACATCTCATTTATAAACTGATGTTTGTCGTTGTAATGAAATGACAATGACAAAACCCCCAATGGCCAGGAGAGGTAAGCTGCTCGAGGGGGGCAGTGATGGTAACACGTAGGGAATTTCCCTACAAGTAGGGAAAATTTGATGTTTTTTTTCTGGTGTAGGGAAGAGGGACAGAAATTCGAGAATTGGAAAAATGTAGGGAAATTCAGAGATTGGTCGTATATTGTATAATAAGGAACAAAGAAATATTTTGTCAACAAATACAAATTCCGATTATCGATCTAACTGCTCACGAGAAAAGACTGTTAGGACTAGGACAAGAACACTAATCTAATAGGACTGCTATACCCGAGTTTAAAACAGTATAGGTAAAAAAAAAAAACGAATTCTAAGAGTTATAATTTTGTTAAAATCGCCTTATCTACATTTAAAATCTAAGAAAAAACAAGCACAACCTGAATCACAAACATCCCATTGAGGCCTGCGAGTGACGTCACCACTATAAGCTGCTATGCTGCTAATAGTGGTGACGTCACTCGCAGGCCCTGTTGACTGATCTGTGACTAGGAGACATCCCTACTTTATCTGTTTGCGTTTGCATTTGGGCCACCCACATTACGTAAGAATACTTCTTTTTTTTATGTCCTAACTTGAAACAGGAAAACGAATAACGTGTAAAGATGAGCCAACCTAATATAAAATAAAACGTGGGGAAATTGTAGGGATTTTTTCTTCTGGTTGGTAGGGAAAATTAGGGAATTTTGTTTGTCTTAAAAGGGAAATCGTGAAAAAAATGTTACCATCACTGGAGGGGGGTCATTTGACAATCAAATTGGAGAGGATACATCAGTGATGGATATTGGTGACACAAAATGTTGTTTACTGTAATGTCTGTCTATGTGAATATGCCATTGTGCACTATAGTACATACTTAGAAAACTATGTGTACACCGGTTTTCTTCAGAGTTAGCAAAAACCCAAATTTTTGAAAATTTCTAAGTATTGGGTTTTTGGGTTATTCTAAGAGGTAAACCACCATCACAGAATTGGTGCAAACAATTCCTCAAAGGTAAATTTTTTACGCATAATTCCTCTAAATTCCTGCAAATTCTTCCAAATACATACTCCATCACAAATTCCTCCAAATACCTTACAAATTCCTCTAAAAAAAAGGAAAATTTTAAAACTTTTTGCATGTAAAGAGGAAGATGAGATCATTTTCCCAAAATTTAAAATTCTTCCAGTAGAAAACAGCAACGTGAAAAATCTTGGAAATCAACCTACAAAAACTGAATTAGTTGAAAATACAGTCTCACATATTTCAAAGTTTTCCCGGAAAACTAGTGAAGGGAAAATTTTGAAACTTTTTGCATGTAAAGAGGAAAGTCAGAAACTCATTTCCCCAAAATTTAAAAATTTTTCAGTGGAAAATAACAACATGGAGAATCTTGAAAATCAACCTACAATAACTGAATTAATTAAAAATACTGACTCACACAATTCAAAGTTTTCATAAAAAAAATGTGAAAGGAACATTTTGAAACTTTTTGCATGTAAAAAGGAAGAGGAGAAGTTCATTTTCCCAAAATTTCAAATTTTTCCAGTGGAAAATAACAACATGAGGAATATTGGAAATCAACTTACAATAACTGAATTAATTGAAAATACAGTCTCACATATTTCAAAGTTTTTCTGGAAAATTAGTGAAAGGAAAATTTCGAAACTTTTTCCACGTAAAGAGGAGAATGAAAACATCGTTTCCCCAAAATTTCAAATTTTTATAGTGAAAAACAGCAGCATTGAAAATCTTGGAAATCAACCTACAAGAACTGAATTAGTGGAAAATACAGTCTCATATATTTCAAAGTTTTCCTGGAAAACTAGTGAAGGGATAATTTTGAAACTTTTTGCATGTAAAGAAAAAAGTGAGAAGCTCATTTTTTCAAATTTAAAATTTTTCCAGTTGAAAACAGCAACATGAGGAATATTGGAAATCAACCTACAATAACTGAATTAATTGAAAATACAGTCCCACATATTTCAAAGTTTTCCTGGAAAACTAGTGAAGAGAAAATTTCGAAACTTTTTGCATGTAAAGAGAAAACAGAGAAGATCGTTTTCCCAAAATTTCAAATTTTTACAGTGGAAAACAGCAACATGAAAAATCTTGGAAATCAACCTACAAAAACTGAATTAGTGGAAAATATAGTGTCACATATTTTAAAGTTTTCCTGGAAAACTCGCTGGAAAACTAGTGAAGGGAGAAATTTGAAGCTTTTTGCATGTAAAGGGAAAAGTTATAAGATTATTTTCCCAAAATTTCAAATTTTTCCAGTGGAAAACAGCAACATGAAAAATCTTGGAAATCAATCTACATAAACTGAATTAGTTGAAAATACAGTCACATTTCAAAGTTTTCCTGGAAAACTAGTCAAGGGAAAATTTTAAAACTTTTTGCATATAGGTAAAGAGGAAGCTTGTTTCCCCAAAATTTAAAATTCTTTCATTGGAAAACAGCAACATGAGGAATATTGGAAATCAACTTACAATAACTGAATTCATTGAAAATACAGTCTCACATATTTCAAACTTTTCCTGGGAAATTAGTGAAGGGAAAATTTTGAAACTTTTTGCATGTAAAGAGGAAGGTGAGAAGCTCATTTTCCTAGAATTACAAATTTTTCCAGTAGAAAATTACAACATGAGGAATCTCGAAAAACAACCTACAGTAACTGAATTAATTGAAAATACAGTCCTACATATTATTTCAAAGTTTTCCTGGAAAACTAGTAAAGGGAGAATTTTCAAACTTTTTGCATGTAAAGAAGAAGGTCAGAAGCTCGTTTCCCCAAAATTTTAAATTTTTTCAGTGAAAAACAGCAACATGAGCAGGGTTGCCAACTCCTGAAATTGGTTCATCCGGAGAGTTTTCCGCGACTGAATTTAAAATTGCGTTTCTCAAAAATATGTTAATTGAAACCTGCTGTTTCAATACCCAACAAACATAAAAAAATCAAAAATAAAACATTTCATTCCAGTTACAACATATTACACTTATTAAAATCTAGGTATACCTACCAATGTTAAAGAAATTTTTTTGACAGTTCTAATAGTCAATACAATTTTCTTATTTTTTGCCATGTGACGCAAATCACCTCCCATGATCCCATGAGCTGTGTTGCTAGGTCTGCTCTCACAGAAATCAGAAACCAGTCAGAGCGTTTTTGATTGGTGCAAATCGCCAACAGCCAGTTTTCTGACTATTTCCAATCAATGAAATTCGCTCTGACTGGTATGTGATTTTGGTGAAAATAGATCTTCTATCAAAGCAAACCTTCTTTCATGTTGTCTCTCTGTATTTGCCCAGAATCACGACGTTACCATGCCGGCATGCCATTCAATTTGCATGCATTTTTCAGGAAACATGTTTTATGTTCGTATCTTGGTTTTTATACAACTCCTACGAATTCTACCCGGAGAAATATACATGTATTCCGGAGACCGGAGAATTACCTTGAAAATACGGAGACTCCAGGTCAAAACCGGAGAGTTGGCAACCCTGAACATGAGGAATATTGGAAATCAACTTACAATAACTTTTGAAACTTTTTGCATGTAAAGAGGAAGATGAAAAGCTCATTTTCCTAGAATTATAAATTTTTCCAGTAGAAAATTACATGAGGAATCTTGAAAAATAACCTACAGTAACTGAATTAATTGAAAATACAGTTGCACATATTTCAAAGCTTTCCTAGAAAACTAGTGAAGGGAAAATTTTGAAACTTTTTGCATGTAAAGAGGAAGATGATAAGCTCATTTTCCCAGAATTACAAATTTTGCCAGTAGAAAATTACAACATGAGAGATGTTGAAAAACAACCTACAATAACTGAATTAATTGAAAATACAGTCCCACATATTTCAAAGTTTTCCTGGAAAACTAGTGAAGGGAAAATTTTGAAACTTTTTGCGTGTAAAGAGGAAGGTGAAAATCTTGGGACTCAACCTACAAAAACTGAATTAGTTGAAAATACAGTTTAATTTTTAAAGTTTTTCTGGAAAACTAATGAAGAAAGAAATTTGAAAGTTTTTGCATGTAAAGGGAAAGGTGAGAAGCACATTTTCCCAAAATTTCAAATTTTTACGGTGGAAAATAACAACATGAAAAATCTTGGAAATCAGCCTACAAAAACTGTATTCATTATTCTTTTGAATTTTTTAAATTTGACAATTTCTTTTAAATTCCTCATAAATTCCTCACAAATTCTCATAAATTCGGATGAGTTCCTTCAAATTCCTTTAAATTTCCCACAAATTCCTCTAAATTAAATTCCCCACATTTTTGGCAAAGAATTCCTAGGTGGTTTGCCCCTTGGTTTTGACAGGTTCTATATTTCGAATTCTGTAGATCAACTTTTCTCTGGGTAGTACTCCTACAGTATTCAGACCATTTTTAATGTGCTAGTAAGAATTTCTTTAACATAAACCTTACCGCAGATTTATATTTACTCTATGGATAGTAAGCAATTTTCTTCATAAACAAGGTCACTTGGATATCTTTTCTTTGTGAAAAACAATATTTATCCAACACATGACAGTTATGACTGTTATTATTATTGTCATTTTTTGCAGGTAAACTATCAAATAACTCACGTTCATATCCAAAGTACTATTTTATTTATTTATTACTATTACAAGCTGAATTCACATTGATATTGAAATTAAAGGAAAACGTTACCGGTTTATTTGAATTTGAAGTAATGTAAATTTTGTTGGTTCATTGGAACCAGACGCTTCCATATCGGTACAGCTGCTGCCGGAAGACGCTGACACATGGAAGCTTGTATTTTTTTTATATTATCTCATAAAAAAAACGATTTCTTCTACTTGTTGGATAAAACATTGTATGCCACTCGTGCGTTATGTTTCCTAAGTCACTTGAGAATTTATACTACTCGGCCTGACGGCCTCGTGGTATAAATCTTTCTCGCGTGACTTATTTTCAACATAACACACTAGTACCATAAATAACTATTTATTATCCCCTTAGGGACCACACTTAGTTTTGACAGTATTGTTGAGCCTGCATTACTCCAAACAACCAGCCCATAATTGACCATAGATAGAGGAGGTCCAGAGAAATGTTGGAACCCATTTTCACCGCCCCTTAATTTCCTATTTTTCAGAAGTTTCCGGCCCTTTTCTATAACCCATAAAATGGAAAATCGAAATTTTGACTAAACAAAAATTTCACGGTATAGAGCAGGTCAAAACAAACAGAAAAGCTATTTGGCATTTTTCCATGGAACGTCTCCTAAGCCCGGAAAAAAATAATAGGGATGAGGCTTTTTCAGCCTGACATGGTCTTATTAAATGAGCCATAATTCTGGAACGCCTGGATCGATTTCATTCATATTTCATTCGATAAAAGATTAATTTGCCCACAGAATGGCTTTATCCAGAATTTTCAGGATTATCCCGTTTCTAAGTTGTGAGCCTTCACATTGCTTGGAGTGAATTGCAACCCTGCTCCACTTTCCCTTTTTATTTCAAGCATTCCTCTTTATCTTGTTTTATATATGTATTTTTGTATTTATAGTTTAATCTCTCTCTGGGTTTTAGTTGTAAGTGGTTGAAATTGTCTTAATTTGACATTTTTAGATGGAGATTGATGGTGGATCAAAAGGCGAAGGTTTCCGATCCTACTACATCACCAAAATCGAAGAACTACAGCTTGTTGTAGCTGAAAAAAGTCAAAATTTGAGGCGTCTACAAGCTCAAAGAAACGAACTAAATGCCAAAGGTACATAAACCATTATAAAAGTAAAAGCTTCTTGGTTTTGATTATACATTTTCAGTCCGTATGCTTAGAGAAGAACTCATGCTGTTGCAAGAACAAGGCAGCTACGTGGGCGAAGTAGTCAAACCAATGGACAAGAAAAAAGTCCTGGTCAAAGTCCACCCTGAAGGAAAATTCGTAGTCGATATTGACAAAAACATCGACATCAATGACGTCACTCCTAATTGCAGAGTGGCTTTGAGAAACGAAAGTTACACTCTACATAAAATACTTCCCAACAAGGCAAGGATCCTATATCCTATTCACAACTTGTTGTCCAAAAGTGAAGGTAAATTTATCACCTTTTCCTATCAAATAGCACTGAAAGATGATAAATTTTACCTTTACCTTTGGACATCGGATTGTAAATAGATAATATATAAGTAATTTATTTGAGAATAATTATTTGTGGTTTTAGGTTGATCCATTGGTCTCTCTTATGATGGTGGAAAAAGTGCCAGATTCCACTTACGAAATGGTGGGTGGTTTGGACAAACAAATCAAGGAAATCAAAGAGGTTATTGAATTGCCTGTTAAACATCCAGAATTGTTTGATGCTCTTGGTATTGCTCAACCAAAAGGCGTTTTGCTTTATGGTCCACCTGGTAAGTTACAGTTTTTACATTAAAACCAGTGTTGCCAACCGTACTATAATTATAATATTTTTACTATAATTGAATGGTTATGTAAGTACTATGTACTATCAAAGGTCATTATAGTACGCCTAAAATACTATTTTAAATTTTAAAATTTAGAAGTCAACTGTCAAAAGTGTTAGTTTAGTGTTTTTTTTGTGACTGGGTTTACACTGTCAATTGTCAATTTCATGAATTTTCCTGAATGGGTCCTTTTTTTATACCAAAAAAGATGTTATCGAACGCACCCCTATTTAATTTCTAAAATTATTTTGATTTTTGTTTTTCACAGGAAAAATTTGAAATTTTAGTGTGATGCGCCCCTGACTTTTCTCTTTTTCTTCAAAAAATGTCATAATTTTTCCTTGAATAGTTTTCCAGAAAAAAAATAAAATGTTAGATGATGCATTTATGCTTAATTTAGTTGATTTTCATTAATTTCCAATGGGGTTATTTTTCATTAGAAAAATTTGGAATTTTAGTATGATACGCCCCTGACTTTTCTCTTTTTGTCTAGAATATGTCATAATTTTCTCCTGAATAGTTTTCCAGAAAAAAAATTAAATGTTGAATGGTGCATTTATGTCTAATTTAGTTGATTTTCACTAATTTCCAATGGGGTTATTTTCCACTGGAAAAATTTGAAATTTTACTATGATATGCCCCTGACTTTTTTATTTTTTTTCCAGAACATGTCATAATTTTCCTTTGAATAGTTTTCTAGAAAAAAAATTAAATGTTAGTTGGTGCATTTATGCCTAATTTAGTTGATATTCATTAATTTCCAATAGGGTTATTTATTTGAAAAATTTGAAATTTTACTATGATACGCCCCTGACTTTCCTCTTTTTTTCCAGAAAATGTCATAATTTTCCCTTGAATAGTTTCCCAGAAAAAAAATTGGATGTTAGGTGGTGCATTTATGCTTAATTTACTTGATTTTCATTAATTTCCAATGGGGTTATTTTCCACTGGAAAACTTTGAAATTTTACTATGATACGCCCCTGACTTTTCTCTTTTATTCCAGAAAATGTCATAATTTTCCACTGAATAGTTTTCCAGAAAAAAAATAAAATGTTAGATGGTGCATTTATGCTTAATTTAGTTGATTTTCATTAATTTCTAATGGGGTTATTTTCCATTTGAAAAATTTGAAATCTTACTATGATACGCCCCTGACTTTCCTCTTTTTTTCCAGAAAATGTCATAATTTTCCCCTGAATAGTTTTCTAGAAAAAAAATAAAATGTTAGATGGTGTACCTACTTCTGCCTAATTTAGTTGATTTTCATTAATTTCTAATGGAGTTATTTTCCACTGGAAAAATTTGAAATTTTAGTATAATACGCCCCTGACTTTCCTCTTTTTTTCTAGAAAATGTCATAATTTTCCCTTAAATAATTTTCCAGAAAAAAAATTAAATATTAGATGGTGCATTTATGCCTAATTTAGTTGATTTTTATCAATTTCCAATGGGATTATTTTTCACTGGAAAAATTTGAAATTTTCAGTATGATACGCCCCTGACTTTTCTCGTTTTGTCCAGAAAATTTCATAATTTTCCTTTAAATAATTTTCCAGAAAAAAAATAAAAATTTTGACAGGTGTCAACGTCGAAAATATGACAAGCGAATATGATATGATGACAGATGACATTTGTTTTTGTCAAAAAAATGTTAAGCAACAAAACCTACATTTGATTGTATCATCGAATTTTGACTCCTATCAAAATAATCATGTGTTTTGCCGTCAAGCTATCAATTTTTGACATATATCGATGGGATTTTTTATATAGGGTGTTTGGGGTCGAGGAATCATTATTTGCCATTTTGTTTTTTGAAAAACGGAAAATTGAAAAAAAAAACTTTTTTGTCTTTGACAGCTGTCAAAAAATTTCGACACTGACAGATAGTTGACAACATAAAACCGCCGAGCAGGGTGAGAGGCAGACATATGTTAAATTTGACAGGTGACATCTGTCAATATCACCAAAATTTTTAGCGTCGAAAATTCTATCCGAATGCGTTGTTCAATTTTGACATATGTCAAAAAAGACGTTTGGCCTTTTTTTCATTTCATAATTTTCCTTTGGATAGTTTTCCAGAAAAAAAATAAAATGTTAGATGGTGCATTTCTGCTTAATTTAGTTGATTTTCGTTAATTTCCGATGGGGTTATTTTCCACTGGAAAAATTTGAAAATTTACTATGATACGTCTCTGATTTCTTCTTTTTTTCCAGAAAATGTCATAATTTTCCCCTGAATTATTCTCCAGAAAAAAAATAAAATGTTACATGGTGCATTTATGCCTAATTTAGTTGATTTTCATTAATTTCTAATGGGGTTATTTTCCACTGGAAAAATTTGAAATTTTAGTTTAATACGCCCCTGACTTTCCTCTTTTTTTTAGAAAATGTCAATAATTTTCCCGTAAATAATTTTCCAGAAAAAAAATTAAATATTAGATGGTGCATTTATGCCTAATTTAGTTGATTTTTATCAATTTCCAATGGGATTATTTTTCACTGGAAAAATTTGAAATTTCAGTATGATACGCGCCTGACTTTCCTCTTTTGACAGATGTCAACTCACGCCATCGAGTAATAATTTTTTCTTCAAATCAGTGACAAAAACTACATGATCATATAGTTTTGACACTGAGGAACACAAAAAATACTAAAAAAATCATTCATCAATTTTGACAGGTGTCAACGTCGAAAATACGACAAGCGAATATGATATGATGACAGATGACATTTGTTTTTGTCAAAAAAATGTTAAGCAACAAAACCTACATTTGATTGTATCATCGAATTTTGACTCCTATCAAAATAATCATGTGTTTTGCCGTCAAGCTATCAATTTTTGACATATATCGATGGGATTTTTTATATAGGGTTTTTGGGGTTGAGGAATCATTATTCGCCATTTTGTTTTTTGAAAAACGGAAAATTGAAAAAAAAATACTTTTTTGTCTTTGACAGCTGTCAAAAAATTTCGACACTGACAGATAGTTGACAACATAAAACCGCCGAGCAGGGTGAGAGGCAGACATATGTTAAATTTGACAGGTGACATCTGTCAATATCACCAAAATTTTTAGCGTCGAAAATTCTATCCGAATGCGTTGTTCAATTTTGACATATGTCAAAAAAGACGTTTGCCCTTTTTTTTATTTCATAATTTTCCTTTGGATAGTTTTCCAGAAAAAAAATAAAATGTTAGATGATGCATTTATGCCTAATTTAATTGATTTTCATTAATTTCTAATGGGGTTATTTTCTACTGGAAAAATTTGAAATTTCACTATGATACGCCCCTGACTTCTTTTTTTCCAGAAAATCTCATAGTTTTTCCTTGAATAGTTTTTCAGAAAAAAAATTAAATGTTAGATGATGCATTTATGCCTAATTTAATTGATTTTCATTAATTTCCAATGGGGTTATTTTTCACTGGAAAAATTTGAAATTTTAGTATGATACGCCCCTGACTTTTTTCTTTTTATCCAGAAAATTTCATAATTTTCCCCTGGATAGTTTTCCAGAAAAAAAATAAAATTTTAGATGGTGCATTTATGCTTAATTTAGTTGATTTTCATTAATTTCTAATGGGGTTATTTTTCACTGGAAAAAATTTAAATTTTAGTATGATACGCCCTTGACTTTTCTCGTTTTGTCCAGAAAATTTCATAATTTTCCTTTGGATAGTTTTCTAGAAAAAAAATAAAATGTTAGATGGTGCATTTATGTCTTATTTAGTTGATTTTCATTAATTTCCAATGAAGGTATTTTTCACTGGGAAAATTTGAAATTTTAGTAATATACCCCCTTGAATTTTCTCGTTTTGTCCAGAAAATTTCATAATTTTCCTTTAATAGTTTTCCAGAAAAAAAATAAAATTTTAGATGATGCATTTATTCCTATTTAGGTGCTTGCTTTTCATTAATTTCTAATGGGGTTATTTTTCACTGGAAAAATTTGAAATTTTACTATGATACGCCCCTGACTTAAATCTCTTATTCCAGAAAATGTCATAAATTTCCACTGAATAGTTTTCCAGAAAAAAATATAAAATGTTAGATGATGCATTTATGCCCGAGTTTATGCCTAATTTAATTGATTTTCATTAATTTCCAATGGGGTTATTTTTCACTGGAAAAATTTGAAATTTTAGTATGATACGCCCCTGACTTTTTCCTTTTTGTCCAGAAAATTTCATAATTTTCCCCTGGATAGTTTTCCAGAAAAAAAATAAAATTTTAGATAGTGCATTTATGTCTAATTTAGTTGATTTTCATTAATTTCCAATGGGGTTATTTTTCACTGGAAAAATTTGAAATTTCACTATGATACGCCCCTGACTTCTTTTTTTCCAGAAAATGTCATAGTTTTTCCTTGAATAGTTTTTCAGAAAAAAAATTAAATGTTAGATGATGCATTTATGCCTAATTTAATTGATTTTCATTAATTTCCAATGGGGTTATTTTTCACTGGAAAAATTTGAAATTTTAGTATGATACGCCCCTGACTTTTTTCTTTTTATCCAGAAAATTTCATAATTTTCCCCTGGATAGTTTTCCAGAAAAAAAAAAAATGTTTGATGATGCATTTATGCCTAATTCAATTGATTTTCATTAATTTTCAATGGGGTTATTTTTCATTAGAAAAATTTGAAATTTTAGTATGATACGCCCCTGACTTCTTTTTTTCCAGAAAATGTCATAGTTTTTCCTTGAATAGTTTTTCAGAAAAAAAATTAAATGTTAGATGATGCATTTATGCCTAATTTAATTGATTTTCATTAATTTCCAATGGGGTTATTTTCACTGGAAAAATTTGAAATTTTACTATGATACGCCCCTGACTTTCCTCATTTTTTCCAGAAAATATTATAATTTTCCCTTGAATAGTTTTCCAGAAAAAAAATAAAATGTTAGATGATGCATTTATGCCTAATTTAATTGATTTTCATTAATTTCCAATGGGGTTATTTTCACTGGAAAAATTTGAAATTTTACTATGATACGCCCCTGACTTTCCTCTTTTTTTCCAGAAAATATTATAATTTTCCCTTGAATAGTTTTCCAGAAAAAAAATAAAATGTTAGATGATGCATTTATGCCTAATTTAATTGATTTTCATTAATTTCTAATGGGGTTATATTTCACTGGAAAAATTTGAAATTTTAGTATGATACGCCCCTGACTTTTTTCTTTTTATCCAGAAAATTTCATAATTTTCCCCTGGATAGTTTTCCAGAAAAAAAAAAATGTTTGATGATGCATTTATGCCTAATTCAATTGATTTTCATTAATTTTCAATGGGGTTATTTTCACAGGAAAAAATTAAAATTTTAGTATGATACGCCACTGACTTTTCTCGTTTTGTCCAGAAAATTTCATAATTTTTTTTTGAATAGTTTTCCAGAAAAAAAATTAAATGTTAAATGGTGCATTTGTGCTTAATTTAGTTGATTTTCATTAATTTCCAATGAGGTTATTTTCAAGTGGAAAAATTTGAAATTTTAGTATGATACGCCCCTGACTTTTTTCGTTTTGTCCAGAAAATGTCGTATGTCCCACCAGGACAATTGGTGGTCATCTGTTTCCAGCAGGATACTATAATTAGGCCGGCATACACACACGTTATTTCGTGCGGTTTATCGTGGCGTGTTGGGATGTAGCGGTTTGCACGCGCGAAAGAACGGCGTGGCAAGAAAAGCGTCCTGTGCCATACACTTGACAAAGTATTCAAATTATTTAGTACGTGATTACGCGCGGCATATCAGTTGGAAAGGAAAAACCGTATGTGTATGGGTAAAAAGTGTCATTTATCGTGTCGTCTGAAATCCCTTCCCATTCTATCATTGCGTGAAGCCCTCCTCACTCACGCACATGATTTTTCACAGGTTTTTGCAGATGACACGAAAAACCGCGCGAAAGAACGTGTGTCTATGCCGGCCTATTTGTACAAATGTACTATAATTTTGTAGCGTTCTATACTATAATAGTTGATCCGTAATTGGCAACACTGCTCACTTGTTAATATTTTCCATTTTTTTTCAGGAACTGGTAAAACTCTTCTAGCAAGAGCTGTAGCCCATCACACTGAATGCACTTTTATTCGTGTGTCTGGTTCTGAGCTGGTACAAAAATTCATTGGAGAAGGATCCAGAATGGTGCGAGAATTGTTCGTTATGGCTCGAGAACACGCCCCCTCTATCATTTTTATGGACGAAATCGATTCTATTGGATCGTCTCGTATCGAGTCTGGTAAGGAGGGGATAATAGGTTTGTTCCCACCTGTCAAAAAACCGTCCCACCATTCTGTATATGAATTTTGGTTTCTGCGCAAAAATTTCAGGTTTTGCGTAGAATCCTGATGGTAATATTACGGTTTCCTGCTGGGTTGGAACAAAGTTATTGAAAAAGAAAATTCATAAATTACATTTTTTGATTGTTTGTAGGTTCAGGAGGTGACTCAGAAGTCCAAAGAACTATGTTGGAATTGCTGAATCAACTGGACGGTTTTGAGGCAACTAAAAACATCAAGGTCATTATGGCGACTAATCGTATCGATATTCTGGATCCGGCCTTGTTGAGACCCGGTCGTATTGATAGGAAAATCGAATTTCCACCACCGAATGAAGAAGCCCGTTTGGACATTTTAAAAATTCATTCACGCAAGATGAATTTGACAAGAGGTATTAATCTGAGGAAAATTGCTGAGCTAATGCCAGGGGCTAGTGGAGCTGAAGTCAAGGTGAGTCTTTTTTAAATTGAATTTTTTTTATTGATTAGTAGTATATCCTATTCACAATCTGTAGTCCAAAGGTACAGGTAAATTTATCATCTTTCCCTATCAAATAGCTTTAAAAGGTGATAAACTTTACCTGTACCTGTGAACATCGGATTGTAAATGGATAATAATTATTCATTTCTTTATCACGTAATTATTTTTCAGGGTGTTTGTACTGAAGCTGGAATGTACGCTCTGAGAGAAAGAAGAGTCCACGTGACCCAAGAAGATTTTGAAATGGCAGTGGCCAAAGTTATGCAGAAAGATTCAGAGAAAAACATGTCCATCAAAAAGTTGTGGAAATAATTATTTTACGTATGTATTGTGCTTTTGTATTAATTAAGCTTTTTCTGAAAATTATTGATTAAATATTAGGAAAATGTACACTTACCTATTTATTCTGTTGCCAAAACCTCCTAATCCTACTATACATCCAAGGACAATGAAATAATACACAAAACTAATTGTTAAATATTAAATTATAATTATTATTCAATTAGATAGGTACTTATCAAGCTGATGTGCGTTAAATTTAAAATGTGAAATTTCAAAATAAGAAAACATTTTTCTAAAGCCTGCCGTTTTCAAACATAATTAACCAGAGTTTTTTAACAATATAAAAATTATTAATTTTAACAGTTTTTTTCAGATATGCCCTACTTGTTATGATACTCCTAAATTATTAAACCACTATACTACAGCCTTTATATTGACTAGCTAGTATTATGGCACAAGGAATATTTTCAACTGAGTTTCTAAATGTAAAATGTTGTTGACTTGTTGAGCTTATACAAATCCTAAGGATAATTTTAGTAATTACTATTGCTGAAAATTGATATTACTTGGCCTGTACAGGCAAAGATATAAAAAGCTTCAAGAAAGTAGGTAGTGCTCATAATATGTACAATCATTTTTGTATAAAGCAATAATACCAAAGCATTAATTATTTTATTGGTCAATTCGTAAAGATGCTATTTGGTCTATTCTAGAAAAATATATAAATTTGTCGCCTCGCTTATTCATAGAGATAGATATGTATTTAAAAAGGTTTATTTTTTCCTAAAGATTTCGTATTAATTGGACCACAATACAGTCTTAAATCTAGGACCTAATAATGTTTTTTTATACAAGGAATGATATAAGCATTAGTTATTAGGTGAACTTTCACTAGAGAGGCCTCAAGAATTATTCATCTACTGGTAAGAAGTAATAATATGGGAAAATTTACTGTATTTTGATAAGTGGTTTTCATTTTCAACTTATGACAGCCATTTAGCCCGAATGAAAACCCCTTATCAATAAAACTGTGCCGCAAAAGCCTCACATTTACTGTATTTCCCCAGAAAATTGGTACTTTATTAATTGGTTTCCCAGTAGATTTACAATAAAGGTTGCTAATATATAGGCCTAATTATTACCTAATAAGACAAATGGACGGTTTACTAAGCTACAAAACGTAAATCCTTACTTCAGTCTAATTATTGTGTAGAAAGAACTAAAAAAAATCCAATATAGAAGGCCCCTTTTTTTTGTATATAAATACACTCGTCAATGTAAATATGGGGAAAGGAAAAAATACAAAATACTATTGTGAGGACTAGGAATCTACAACCACTTTTTCCTGAGGCTGTTGCCCCTGCGCCCCCACATTAGGTTGTATCATACGATGGTGCCTTGCAGTTGTTGCGGGTCTCCGGTAGGGGGTAGGGCCGATTGAGATGCCGAGCTTGGTGGATCGTTGAAAGAAGGCATTCCAATACCTAGAATAGAATTTCTGCTTAAAAAATGGCCATTTGGAAATTATGTTAGGGTTGTTTTCCACTAATTTTGACCCACTGGCATTGTGGAAATTAATGAAAATCAACTAAATTAGACATAAATGCTACATCTAACATTTTATTTTTTTTCTGGAAAACTATTCAGGGGAAAATTAGGAAATATTCTGAACAAAACAAGAAAAGTCAGAGGCGTATCATAGTAAAATTTCAAGTTTTTCCAGTAGAAAATCACCCCATTGAAAATTAATGAAAATCAACTAAATTAGGCATAAATGCACCATCTAACATTTTATTTTTTCTGAAAAACTATTCAGGAGAAAACTATGACATTTTCTAGAAAAAAAGAAGAAAGTCAGGGGCGTATCATGGTGAAATTTCAAATTTTTCTAGTGAAAAATAACCCCATTGGAAATTAATGAAAATCAATTAAATTAGGCATCAATGCATCATCTAACATTTTATTTTTTTTTCTGGAAAATTATTGAAAGGAAAATTATGAAATTTTCTGGACAAAACGAGAAAAGTCAGGGGCGTATCATAGTGAAATTTCAAATTTTTCCGGTAGAAAATAACCCCAATGGAAATTAATGAAAATCAATTAAATTAGACATAAATGCACCATCTAACATTTTATTTTTTTTCTGAAAAACTATTCAGGAGAAAATTATGACATTTTCTAGAAAAAAAGAGAAAAGTCAGGGGCGTATCATAGTGTAATTTCAAATTTTTCCAGTGAAAAATAACCCCATTGCAAATTAATGAAAACCAATTAAATTAGGCATAAATACATCATCTAATATTTTTATCTTTTTTTTGGAAAACCTATTCAGGAGAAAATTATGACATTTTCTAGAAAAAAAGAAGAAAGTCAGGGGCGTATCATAGTGAAATATCAAATTTTTCCAGTAGAAAATAACCCCATTGGAAATTAATGAAAATCAACTAAATTAGACATAAATGCATCATCTAACTTTTTATTTTTTTTCTGGAAAACTGTCCTCGAGCAAATTATGACATTTTCTAGGAAAAAAAGAAGAAAGTCAGGGGCGTATCATAGTGAAATTTCAAATTTTTCCGGTAGAAAATAACCCCAATGGAAATTAATGAAAATCAATTAAATTAGACATAAATGCACCATCTAACATTTTATTTTTTTTCTGAAAAACTATTCAGGAGAAAATTATGACATTTTCTAGAAAAAAAGAGAAAAGTCAGGGGCGTATCATAGTGTAATTTCAAATTTTTCCAGTGAAAAATAACCCCATTGCAAATTAATGAAAACCAATTAAATTAGGCATAAATACATCATCTAATATTTTATCTTTTTTTTGGAAAACTATTCAGGAGAAAATTATGACATTTTCTAGAAAAAAAGAAGAAAATCAGGGGCGTATCATAGTAAAACTTCAAATTTTTCCAGTGGAAAATAACCCCATTGGAAATTAATGAAATTCAACTAAAGTAGACATAAATGCACCATCTAACATATTATTTTTTTTCTGAAAAACTATCCAGTTGAAAAGTATGGAATTTTCTGAAAAAAAAGAAAAAAGTCAGGGGCGTATCATAGTGAAATTTCAAATTTTTCCAGTCAAAAATAACCCCATTGGAAATTAATGAAAATTAACTAAATTAAGCATAAATGCACCATCTAACATTTTATTTTTTTATGAAAAACTATTCAGGAGAAAATTATGACATTTTCTAGAAAAAAAGAAGAAAGTCAGGGGCGTATCATAGTGTAATTTCAAATTTTTCCAGTGAAAAATAACCCCATTGGAAATTAATGAAAATCAATTAAATTAGGCATAAATGCACCATCTAACATTTTTTTTTTTTTTGGAAAACTATTCAGGAGAAAATTATGACATTTTCTAGAAAAAAAGAAGAAAGTCAGGGGCGTATCATAGTGTAATTTCAAATTTTTCCAGTAGAAAATAACCCCATTGGAAATTAATGAAAATCAACTAAATTAGACATAAATGCATCATCTAACTTTTTATTTTTTTTCTGGAAAACTGTCCTCGAGCAAATTATGACATTTTCTGGGAAAAAAGAAGAAAGTCAGGGGCGTATCATAGTGAAATTTCAAATTTTTCCGGTAGAAAATAACCCCAATGGAAATTAATGAAAATCAATTAAATTAGACATAAATGCACCATCTAACATTTTATTTTTTTTCTGAAAAACTATTCAGGAGAAAATTATGACATTTTCTAGAAAAAAAGAGAAAAGTCAGGGGCGTATCATAGTGTAATTTCAAATTTTTCCAGTGAAAAATAACCCCATTGCAAATTAATGAAAACCAATTAAATTAGGCATAAATACATCATCTAATATTTTATCTTTTTTTTGGAAAACTATTCAGGAGAAAATTATGACATTTTCTAGAAAAAAAGAAGAAAGTCAGGGGCGTATCATAGTGTAATTTCAAATTTTTCCAGTGAAAAATAACCCCATTGGAAATTAATGAAATTGAACTAAAGTAGACATAAATGCACCATCTAACATATTATTTTTTTTCTGGAAAACTATCTAGTTGAAAAATATGAAATTTTCTGGAAAAAAAGAAAAAAGTCAGGGGCGTATCATAGTAAAATTTCAAAAATATAACCCCATTGAAAATTAATGAAAATCAACTAAATTGGCATAAATGTACCATCGAACATTTTATTTTTTTTCTGGAAAACTATCCAGGAGAAAATTATGACATTTTCTAGAAAAAAAGAGAAAAGTCAGGGGCGTATCATAGTGTAATTTCAAATTTTTCCAGTGAAAAATAACCCCATTGCAAATTAATGAAAATCAATTAAATTAGGCATAAATGCATCATCTAACATTTTATCTTTTTTTTGGAAAACTATTCAGGAGAAAATTATGACATTTTCTAGAAAAAAAGACGAAAATCAGGGGCGTATCATAGTAAAACTTCAAATTTTTCCAGTGGAAAATAACCCCATTGGAAATTAATGAAATTCAACTAAAGTAGACATAGATGCACCATCTAACATTTTATTTTTTTTCTGAAAAACTATCCAGTTGAAAAGTATGGAATTTTCTTAAAAAAAAAGAAAAAAGTCAGGGGCGTATCATAGTGAAATTTCAAATTTTTCCAGTGAAAAATAACCCCATTGGAAATTAATGAAAATTAACTAAATTAAGCATAAATGCACCATCTAACATTTTATTTTTTTCTGAAAAACTATTCAGGAGAAAATTATGACATTTTCTAGAAAAAAAGAAGAAAGTCAGGGGCGTATCATAGTGAAATTTCAAATTTTTCTAGTGAAAAATAACCCCATTGGAAATTAATGAAAATCAATTAAATTAGGCATCAATGCATCATCTAACATTTTATTTTTTTTTCTGGAAAATTATTGAAAGGAAAATTATGAAATTTTCTGGACAAAACGAGAAAAGTCAGGGGCGTATCATAGTGAAATTTCAAATTTTTCCGGTAGAAAATAACCCCAATGGAAATTAATGAAAATCAATTAAATTAGACATAAATGCACCATCTAACATTTTATTTTTTTTCTGAAAAACTATTCAGGAGAAAATTATGACATTTTCTAGAAAAAAAGAGAAAAGTCAGGGGCGTATCATAGTGTAATTTCAAATTTTTCCAGTGAAAAATAACCCCATTGCAAATTAATGAAAACCAATTAAATTAGGCATAAATACATCTCTAATATTTATCTTTTTTTTGGAAAACTATTCAGGAGAAAATTATGACATTTTCTAGAAAAAAAGAAGAAAGTCAGGGGCGTATCATAGTGAAATATCAAATTTTTCCAGTAGAAAAATAACCCCATTGGAAATTAATGAAAATCAACTAAATTAGACATAAATGCATCATCTAACTTTTTATTTTTTTTCTGGAAAACTGTCCTCGAGCAAATTATGACATTTTCTAGGAAAAAAGAAGAAAGTCAGGGGCGTATCATAGTGAAATTTCAAATTTTTCCGGTAGAAAATAACCCCAATGGAAATTAATGAAAATCAATTAAATTAGACATAAATGCACCATCTAACATTTTATTTTTTTTCTGAAAAACTATTCAGGAGAAAATTATGACATTTTCTAGAAAAAAAGAGAAAAGTCAGGGGCGTATCATAGTGTTATTTCAAATTTTTCCAGTGAAAAATAACCCCATTGCAAATTAATGAAAACCAATTAAATTAGGCATAAATACATCATCTAATATTTTATCTTTTTTTTGGAAAACTATTCAGGAGAAAATTATGACATTTTCTAGAAAAAAAGAAGAAAATCAGGGGCGTATCATAGTAAAACTTCAAATTTTTCCAGTGGAAAATAACCCCATTGGAAATTAATGAAATTCAACTAAAGTAGACATAAATGCACCATCTAACATATTATTTTTTTTCTGAAAAACTATCCAGTTGAAAAGTATGGAATTTTTCTGAAAAAAAAGAAAAAAGTCAGGGGCGTATCATAGTGAAATTTCAAATTTTTCCAGTCAAAAATAACCCATTGGAAATTAATGAAAATTAACTAAATTAAGCATAAATGCACCATCTAACATTTTATTTTTTTATGAAAAACTATTCAGGAGAAAATTATGACATTTTCTAGAAAAAAAGAAGAAGAAGTCAGGGGCGTATCATAGTGTAATTTCAAATTTTTCCAGTGAAAAATAACCCCATTGGAAATTAATGAAAATCAATTAAATTAGGCATAAATGCACCATCTAACATTTTTTTTTTTTTTGGAAAACTATTCAGGAGAAAATTATGACATTTTCTAGAAAAAAAGAAGAAAGTCAGGGGCGTATCATAGTGTAATTTCAAATTTTTCCAGTAGAAAATAACCCCATTGGAAATTAATGAAAATCAACTAAATTAGACATAAATGCATCATCTAACTTTTTATTTTTTTTCTGGAAAACTGTCCTCGAGCAAATTATGACATTTTCTGGGAAAAAAGAAGAAAGTCAGGGGCGTATCATAGTGAAATTTCAAATTTTTCCGGTAGAAAATAACCCCAATGGAAATTAATGAAAATCAATTAAATTAGACATAAATGCACCATCTAACATTTTATTTTTTTTCTGAAAAACTATTCAGGAGAAAATTATGACATTTTCTAGAAAAAAGAGAAAAGTCAGGGGCGTATCATAGTGTAATTTCAAATTTTTCCAGTGAAAAATAACCCCATTGCAAATTAATGAAAACCAATTAAATTAGGCATAAATACATCATCTAATATTTTATCTTTTTTTTGGGAAAACTATTCAGGAGAAAATTATGACATTTTCTAGAAAAAAAGAAGAAAGTCAGGGGCGTATCATAGTGAAATTTCAAATTTTTCCAGTGGAAAATAACCCCATTGGAAATTAATGAAATTGAACTAAAGTAGACATAAATGCACCATCTAACATATTATTTTTTTTCTGGAAAACTATCTAGTTGAAAAATATGAAATTTTCTGGAAAAAAAGAAAAAAGTCAGGGGCGTATCATAGTAAAATTTCAAAAATAAAACCCTATTGGAAATTAATGAAAATCAACTAAATTGGCATAAATGTACCATCGAACATTTTAGTTTTTTTCTGGAAAACTATTCAGGAGAAAATTATGACATTTTCTAGAAAAAAAGAGAAAAGTCAGGGGCGTATCATAGTGTAATTTCAAATTTTTCCAGTGAAAAATAACCCCATTGCAAATTAATGAAAATCAATTAAATTAGGCATAAATGCATCATCTAACATTTTATCTTTTTTTTGGAAAACTATTCAGGAGAAAATTATGACATTTTCTAGAAAAAAAAGACGAAAATCAGGGGCGTATCATAGTAAAACTTCAAATTTTTCCAGTGGGAAAATAACCCCATTGGAAATTAATGAAATTCAACTAAAGTAGACATAGATGCACCATCTAACATTTTATTTTTTTTCTGAAAAACTATCCAGTTGAAAAGTATGGAATTTTCTTAAAAAAAAAGAAAAAAGTCAGGGGCGTATCATAGTGAAATTTCAAATTTTTCCAGTGAAAAATAACCCCATTGGAAATTAATGAAAATTAACTAAATTAAGCATAAATGCACCATCTAACATTTTATTTTTTTCTGAAAAACTATTCAGGAGAAAATTATGACATTTTCTAGAAAAAAAGAAGAAAGTCAGGGGCGTATCATAGTGAAATTTCAAATTTTTCTAGTGAAAAATAACCCCATTGGAAATTAATGAAAATCAATTAAATTAGGCATCAATGCATCATCTAACATTTTATTTTTTTTCTGGAAAATTATTGAAAGGAAAATTATGAAATTTTCTGGACAAAACGAGAAAAGTCAGGGGCGTATCATACTAAAATTTCAAATTTTTCCAGTGAAAAATAAGTCCATTGGAAATTAATGAAAAATCAATTAAATTAGGCATAAATACACTATCTAACATTTTATTTTTTTTCTGGAAAACTATCCAAGAGAAAATAATGACATTTTCTAGAAAAAAAGAGGAAAGTCAGGGGCGAAATTTCAAACTTTTCTAGTGAAAAATAACCCCATTAGAAAAAGAGGAAAGTCAGGGGCATATCATAGTGAAATTTCAAATTATAGTATTTTAGGTGTACTATATTGACCTTTGATAGTACATAGTACATAACCATTCAATTATAGTACAAATACTATAATTATAGTACTGTTGTGCAACACTGCCCACCAGCAAAGTCGAAATTGAGCAAAACTGAAAAATGAAAAAAATTGAGTTTTTCATAAAGGTACCCCCTTTGAATTTTGATTTCAAAATATTCAAACCTCAATTGCTCCGGAACCATTAGGCAAATTGCATTGAAATTTTCAGCATTTGTAGCTCTTATCAAGCTCTAAAAGATATATAATTTATAATATTCCCAAATTTGCTCCAAAACTATTTGAGCAATCAAACTCAATTTTGCACAGATTTATAGGGAATTTAATGCTCTTTCCAATGATATATAATTTATTTTAATTTGCTCAAAATTCAACAAAGATATGGGCAATTGCTTATGACCATGTCAAGATTTTGAAAATTTTCCAGAGCCAAAAATTCATTGTCAATCAAAACATTCATCGGAACTCTAAAAATCAGTTCAGAAATGATCTGGAACCAAATGAAATATAGTAGTAAGTTTAATGGGTTCTAGAATATTAATTGTGCACCGTATGCGTATAATAATAAATCAGTTCATGATTTTTTTCTAGTTCAGAACAGCAATCGAACTACTCGAAACTCTGAGAATGAGTCTGATTCTAAATGAACTGCGAACATTTCAATATATTCGGAACAACGGAACAATAATGGATTTATTCAGAATCAGTTCTGAATTAAATTGTCCAATACAAAAGTTTGATATGAACAAATGTGCAACTGATTTTGAACTAAGTGCGAACAAACTTATTCCAAATTAAAATCAGTTCAGAGTCGATCTAGAACCATTTCTACATGAATTGCGAATAAAAAAGAGTAAATTTGATGTGTTCTAGGGCACTTATATTAAAATATTTTGAACGTGAACTAATTCGGAACAGGATTTTAAACAATTTGGAACTGATGATAATAAATAACAGGGTAAGTTCAATGTGTTTTAGGCAGCACCAATTCAGGATTCTTTTTTATTATGATCTAGTTCAGGGCTTCATTTGACTGTAAACGAGTTCGGAACAGGTTTTAGATCAATTTTTAGAACAGATCTGATTGATGTTAGAATTTTATTTCAACAGGTAATTTAACTAAAATAGAATTCTATTTATCGTTGCAGGGTGCGTACATTGCCGGCTTTTTGGGATATTGTAGGTTATGTTTGCGGATTTTCCAGGGCAAATATCGTTCCAATCGATTTATTTCATTAGAAATTCTATTTATTGTTGTCTCTGGAACACTTATTTTGAATCTAGTGTAGGTTCTTATATGTTCCAAATAAATTGAACATCGTTAACAGTTACTCGATTCGGTCTGAGATTCTCGTTTTAGAGCACTAAATTTGACTCTATTTATTCGTTCTACTGTTTTAGCGTAAATAGAGTAAATGTATTCATTAAAAAAGTTGTATTTATTTCACTATCTAGGTGTTCCAGGGCACTTATAGGAAAATATTTTGATCCATTCGGTCTGTACTAAATTTGACTCTGTTTACTTACCTAAGCTACTAACAGGTGCTCCAATTGACTGCAAACTCAAAGTACTTCCATGATGGAGCATCGATGGCATATTTCCCAACATGGCGGTATTGCTGGAAATAATGGGTGGACTGTTTTCTTCGGGCGGTGTCACTTCCAGCCCGATACTGTCGTTCAGGGCGATTTTAATGGGATTTTGGAATTTCGTTGAAAAGTGAGAGAGGCCAATGTCTTCCAGGCTACTTTTTCTTCGTGGATTTCCTATGTTTGGTAATCCTTGACGAAGCGAATTGGATCTAGGTATACAAAAAAAGATTTAAGTACATAATTGACACAGAAACCCTAATAAGAACTCTTACCTTCTTAACAAAATATCGTCGATTACTCGTAAAGAATTCGATCGTCCTCTCTGATAAGTAACTGTTGGGCTATCGGGCAAAGACAAAGAATTTGACTTGGTAGTCACTAGTGGCGGAGGCCTGGGTGCTTGGTAGCCGCTTAGGCCCAAACCCGACCCCCTCCTGTTGCCCGATTGGGCGTTTCCGCCCAACTGCTGCAAGATGTTTTGCGAACAAAAACTAATATTTGACTTTCGGCGGCTGTTGTGACGTTCAAATGTTTTTTGAGCGGAAAACGGACTAGGACGAACTAAATATCTAGATGACAAAAAATTGATTATATAGAATTGTACTTATTAGACAAAATAACTTACATGATATCTCCTTCTTCTAGCTTAAGATCACAGCTGGGATTAATAATGACGTACGATAAACTGTTACGTTTCTCGCTAGTATCGTTATAGTCTATGGTGGGCAAATTTAAACTTTCCATTCTAGAACGGACCAAATTGGCAATTTCGGCACGTTCGATTTGCTGATTGTGGTTATCTTTGGCCTCGTCTGCCATGTTAATCGAATACTATAAAACAGAGGAAAGGAGAATAATTTTAAAAGCGAATACAACTGCTAGAGAAAGTACAAGCAAAATGGAAACTTGGAAGAAAGTCATAATTTTTATATTGAAACTCTAGACTTACCATTGAACTGCGTCTATTGGGACAGCCCAAGCAATTGGTGTCTTCTTTGGGACGATAAGTAACACCTACTCGCTCCGAGCCCAAGTCCTCGTCCAGCTATCGTAAATTATAAGGCAACTATTACGTGCACTACAATAGGCTGAGCTTAAGTCTATCAATTTATTATTTAATTATTTGATAAAAATTAATTAGTTTTGTATTTAATACAAATGAGTCATAACCCTTAAAATTGTGTATCAGGACTTGTACAATACAATAAGTTCAAAATTGATAGTAATACTGTCCCTATGAATCAGTAGTTGACATCCTGTATATTAGGGAAATCATTATACCTAAGTGTTTAGTCAATAGTTATGTACAAAAGCGAAAGTTAAATGTTAATATGTATTTGGAAAAAAAACTTATACATAATTGAGTGTAGGTATATAATAATGTACAACATGCTTCTTATTCTCACTAATTGATTAATTTCCTTGAAGCAGTGTATTATCAAATTTTTCGAAATTAAAAAGCTCTTTGATCAATACCTACAAAACTATTAACATGCTGGCATTTCACCTATCTTACCTCTGATGATGTACTGAGAGTGGTTAGATGTACTTTATGTATACAGGGTGATAATAAAATATACTCCTGGACAAAATTATCGCACCACCACTGCACATAAGCACCATAAGCAGTGGTGCGATAATTTTGTCCAGAAGTATATATGAAATTTGGAAAATATGGAAAGTTTATAATATACAGACGAAATTGTGGAAAGTTTTATTTTGTGCCTCAAAATATTTACAATAGTTATTATAGTATAGGTAAGGTAAATCACGTGTGCAATCGGTGTAACAAGACTCATCATACTTATATTTATTGAAATTATCTGAAAACACACATCCTTCAACATTCACTCAAAATTTCAAACACCTGAAGCTTTCATACAAGCATTAATAGATAACACATAGGAAAATCGATATGAAGAAGAACGTTACTCACCGATGGCACACGTACGCAGCTAGACCACGTCGACGATGGGATACTCACATGTGATGTGTCGGTAATCGAAGTGTCTTGGGTTCGGTAGATGCCTATCGGGATTTCGCAAGTCGTGGAACACAATTTTTGGTATAGACGGCCGTACGTTCTTATCCACATGTCCTCTTTGCCTATCCGCATCTAGAAAAAAAAATCCATATTGTAGAATATTCCAAATCTGTTTCAAAGTTCTCAAAGCACTATCACATGATTCACATGTATCAAGGAAGTTGTCATAACTTTTTGCAAAATTTTGATTACTCAATTGCAATTTTGGTTGCATTGGACTATGATGGAAAGACTACTTGGGCGGAAAACTACAATATGTTGCTGCTTACTTACAGATGTTAAAAACCCCGATCCTGGTGCTTGATCAATACCGAGTAGTAACCTCACGAAAGTAATAACGTAATCTTTAACAAAGGCTTGATAAAGAAGCGTGTCCAACATGCTGGCACTGAAAACACTCCCGGCGGCAAACGGCAATCGGAACATGTAGGAAATATGAGAGCCTCGTTCTTTTTCTCTCTGCAAGTGTTAACGAATACAAAAATTAAATTATATTCGTTTGGAAAATTGAATTAGCTCACTTTTTCCATTTTCGATAAATGAAGGGCGTACTTGTCGTGAGCTCTGAACTGCATAAAGCGCATGTTGGAAGACTGTGACAGCTCTGTTATACTTTTGATGCTAGGGAAAAATCTGGAAAAATTGTTATTGAATACTTTTCAGTGGTTGTTTTTTTGAACTTACTTGAACATAGTTTGAACTGCTACAATCGTATTACAGTCCGAAAGGGAATCTTCTTCGGCAGAATTCGACAGTTCCTTATTAACGACTACGACATTTTCCGCTAAACTGATGCCTGCTCTAAGCAAATCGTCCAAGCTTAAATAATAAAATTACTGATAAGTATAGGTACATTATACAAACATTTATTCTTACCAATCTATCGAGCCGACCATCCAGTAAATCAATGGAAAATAAGAGATGGAATCCAGAAAAGCGACGTCCGGTCGTCGTTCCAGCAGCAAGATAATGGGATTCAGCGACGTTTTCGGTCGGAAATGGGCCCTCAACGGTATAATGAAATTATAGATGCCGTTCGAGGCGTAGTCGGCGGCCAGAATAATCGTTTTGTTTTGCCATTGATATTCTCTAGCGTTCCTAAGGGAAATTGTCTTTCTTGTTAATGTTACACATAATTATTTATATTTCTTTAGACAAAAATTTCCAAATTTCCTATTCAGTATAAGTGAATGAACTCTTAAATTCAGTCTATACATATGCTCAACACATAAAGACTTTAATTTGGAAAATACACAAGATAACTGGTTGAACTTTGCTAGAGTAATGTAGCGTCAATGTTCCTCTTAAGAACTGACGTCATCATCGTTATTGTAGGTTTGAGTTTAGTTTGCTGACAATCAGGACTCGACTCAATAATGGAAGCGACATTGAGGTATATTTAATTTAACATAATAATATTGAATAGATCATTGGAAATAATTAAGGCCCGGTTTATCAGTTTAGCTGTTGGTTAATTAATGATGTAAGATAATTTTTAGGGAAGTTGTAAAATTCTTTGGATTTTTTTCAAAAATACTTCAAGGAATCTGAGCAACTTGATCGGCATACAATAGTCATTCTACCAGTCTTGAAACTCACCGTGGCCTCACGTTGGGCGCCAATTTGTAGGATAATTATCAGGGAAGTTGAGTACATAAGAAAAATTAAACGAGAACTGATTATCGTATATTGGTCTTGTATTAACCAAGGAAACGAAATGAAATTTGCAAGGGAATTTGCGTTATTGCACTATGAGTGTTGACAGGCCGTGTAACAGATTGACATCATACCGGGATATGCCGATCAGTGGCGTGGGGATTAGGGAATTTTGTTACAATGATATTAATTAGTTAACCGACAGTTAAATTAATATTTTTTAGATTCAGATTAAATTCACTTCAATATCAGATGCATTATTGCATAATTCAACAACTAATAGATAATAATTTTTGTTTAAATTCTTACCGATAATTGCAATGTTCGCACACTTGAGCCAGCTGCAAACAACATAAAGGCTTCTTCTCCTTGAGTAGATAACACAACGTGGGACTCACTCCAATGTAAGGCGAGACTGGGGGAAATCCTTTGACGATACTGCATAAAAATGGTTTTAGTGAAAAATACATTGAAACCTATTTTTATCTGTGTTGAAATTTCATTATCATTCATGTTATAGTACCTACTATCCTCACTAGAATAGTTTTATCAAAGTCTGTTTTATATGTGAGAAACACGTGTGAAGTAAAGTTCGACAAGTGAGTGAACCTTGTTAACGTATGAAGTAGCAGAGGAGAAGACGAAAACCTATACTATACGACGCGACGGGTCCCCGCCATGGTGTATTGCGAAAGTTGCGGTTACCCTGACGCGACTACCCGCGTATATGTATATTTTATCTCGCGCCAATCAGAAGGGTTTTGCTCGCATTACTTCTACACAGGTTCACTCAGTTTAGTTGTCGCACTTCAAGCACCCGATTTTCAGCAACGATTTTTCAGGAGAAGTACATTACCGCCAACGATAGTTGAAGGTCAATTATTTTTGTATAAATTTTGATATTTTGAACGTGGGCAATAATGATAATTATATTCTTTTATTGTTTCAATTTTTCTTTTAAATAAAATAAAATAAATAAAAAGGTATAAGAACGTTTCCATATATTTTCCTTCTGGAATTTTATCTGTACAGGGTGCCCATTTTCGATGTGGCCGATGTGGGAACACTTTCTCGAGCTCTTTTTTTGAGAAAATAACAATGGCGAAGAGAAATCACGGCTAACTTGATGCGTTTAGGAAATACAGGGCACTTTTCAAATTTTGTCCGATTTTGAAAGACTTTTTAAGTAGAATCCAGTGGCATGACCAATTTTTTTCCAGATACAACTGATTCTGGAATATTAGCTGAAGTTGGGTTTTTTTTTTTTTTTAAATGAGACACCCCGTATATTATTTTTTCATTGCATAGCTCTTTTTGAGTTGATTTCATAATATAAGATTTTATAGCTTTACCTTCAATAGTTTTCGAGAAAAAAAAAAAATCGGTTTCTTCATAAGAAACAATGAGCTAAAAAGAGATAAGTCAATATAATACAGCGGATTAGCTAACCTATTGTGCACTTTTTGATGAAGGCACCAAATTTGACATAGAGGTAGATCGATGTAATATGAACAAATTTGGATGTGGAGCCATCGGCCAAATGCCCCCCGGCGGCCGTGGCGGCGATTTTCCAAAATGGCCGTTAGTGGACACCCCGGAAAGGCAACGGAAGTTAGATAAAGTTTGTTGCTGAAGGTTTTAGTGAATGTTTATTGATTATTTTCAATTAAAACATGCCAGATAGTTTGTAAGTTATACTATACAGGTCGGGGCATAAAAAACTTCTCACCTAGGTTTTCTCAGGTGTTATAGGTGATTAATCAAAAATGGCTCGGACATGTCAATTTTGTTTTTTGGGGGGACACATTTTATTGGTATTTCATACCCAGTGGCGTAGTGACGATGCTCCGGGCCCGTGTTCAAAAATTTTACCGGGCCCCTACTCCTGTGAGATAAAAAAATTGAAAAATCAAAGAAATATATAAAAAAAAAATCTAAATATACAGGGTGAACGAAAGTATGGAGAACATATTCAATATAAAATGAATGAACGCGTTTTGGAAAAACAGCTCGGACACGTTGATTTTGTTTTTTTTGCTTTTGCTTGAGATTTTTTCACACCAATTTTTTTATACAGGGTGGTTCAAAGAACAGCTGTACCGTACCGTTATCAACTTCATTTTTTTAAATCATACATTCTGTATATCATGACATTTTTTGATTCTGCAGAAAGTTCTAGACATATTTCATGTGCAATGTTATGCCAGAAATACCCTAACGGTTTCTCAATAGCAAGTCACCCCTGGGTTAGGCATAACTCCGACTCGCTATTGAGAAACCTGCTTTTCATGTTAAAGCTTAAAGCCTTGTACTCGTAACCGCGAAATTCGTTCTTTTTTGACATTGTTTCGAAAATTTGACGTTTGGTTCACGCATAAAACGTCAAATTGTCGAAGCAATGTCAAAAAAGAGCGAATTTCGCTGTTATGAGTTTAATTCACCTAATTAGAGGGCAACACAACAAACCACAACGCAGGGATTGCAGGATCTTGAGTTGGCATACTTGGCAATCCTGGCATACTATGGAGTGGTTCGGCCGAACTAATGAATTTTGAAGATATACGATACGCGACAAGCGGTAAAATCGAAAGGTTTTTCATAAAAGAAATCATTATAAGTCTACATAAGAATGTAAGAAATGAAGACTTTACCTACGTAGATATAGATATTTTTTATTTTTATATAAATTAGCGTCAAATATGTGTGAAATGGATTTTTTCTATTTTGGTATCATATCGAAGTCTTTTCGACACTAAAAGTAGTTTCGAAAAGAACCCATTTGTGACACTCCTTTTTTAGTTATCGGAGGTTGGTAACACTGGCTGACTGATGGCCATCGAACTGTCATTCGCGATAAAAAAAATAGAAGATTTCTATATTTGGCATGTAGTGTTGCCAACCTAAACATATGAAATCAGGAAATATGAGAATAAAATTTCCAAGAAAAGTTTTTTTTTTAAATTAAACAATACCAAAATAGAAAAAAAAGTATAAAATATTCGTTTCATAAGACATTTTATCGCACTCGCCCTTTAGAAAACTCGCCTCCGGCTCGTTTTCTAATATAGGGCTCGTGCGATAAAATGACGTCTTATGAAACTTGTATTTTAATGTACTATTCTGTAACTTGGAAACATTACCTACATATTTTAAAAACTGCTGATTGCATCACTCGTTAAACAATAAACATTGTCCGCACATGTTAGGAAAATCTAACCCAAACAAAATAATATACTTTGACGTCAATTTGGCAACGCAGCACTCCTTGCCTTAACCTTTTAGAATTGTTTTGGGGCTAGCGGCTAGCACCAAGCTCTTGTAAAAAATAGTATTGACATCTAAAACCGGACCCCTTGAGGTACCGGGCCCGTGTTCCATGGAACACGCGGAACACCGGTGACTACGCCCCTGTTCATACCCTCTACCCTCAAAATTTCAAATGGAAAGGGGGTTCGAGTGATACAATGTACTAGGTACATATTTCCTAACTTTGGCAAGGCGCCATTTCGACACGGACTATTTACCCTGCCGCAACCTAAAATTTCGGGGAAATAATCCTAATGAAACTTTCCATCAAATGGCGTACCTATCACTCGATCTCCCTTGCTTTCTTTTTGAAATTTTGGGGGTACCTATCACCCCCGCTCAGTGGTTGACAGGTAGGGGGATGAAAAAACCAATACAATGGTCGAGCGATTTCTGATTATTCACCTAACATGGGAGAAAATCTGGGTGGGAAGTTTTTAGTGCCTCGCCCTGTATATACGTCTCACGACGTTTTATCCAGGTGATAACTACGGAACGCGTCATCCAATATAATTGAAATTTTGAGGATCTGGGTAATTTTTTGTGCCGCTTCTACATACGTTATCCAATTTCACTTTAGCTTCAGTTCCGGTCAAGTGACGGCAACTTTAGAATCTTAAAAGTAACTGATGGTATTATATAATTCTACGTTAGAAAATTAAATTATAAAATCGGCAATGCCATATTTGTTAAAGCATTGTTAAAGAAAATGATAAAAAATTACAAAGTGGACATCTGATGACGCGTGTCGAAGTTATTACCTGGGTAAAATATCGTGGGACACCCTGTATATACAGGGTGGGGAACGAAAAACGTACCACCCAGGTTTTCTCAGGTGTTAGGTGAATAATCAAAAAATCACTCGACCATTTCATTAGTATTATCACCCCCTAAGCGGGGGTGAAAGGTACCTCAAAAATTTCGAACTAGAAGGGGGGTCGGGTGATACGTAATTTGATAAAAAATTTATTGAGATTTTTATCCTCGAAATTTAAAGTTTACCTTGTCAAAATTTTCAAATTTAGGAAAAAGTACATTGTATCACTCGAACCCCCTTTGCATTTGAAATTTTGCGGGTACCTGTCACCCCCGCTTAGGGATTGACAGGTAGAGGATGAAGATAACAATAAAATGAATCTCCCAAAAAACAAAAATAAACTGCAAGATACTGCTACCATATCTACTCCTACTATTTACCACTAGCGTGCAGCCGTGTATGTTTGACAATTCCTAATATGGCGACGCGATCTGCACTGTAACTGCGTATATTATTTTTAGGTGCACTACTGCGCGAGGGTATGATTTCCGCTAAGCAATAATAATAATCAAGAAAAACCCAGTTAACACTGTACCCATGTATATTTTCCATATTGCAACTAGGCCGAACTTTCCAAGGGACCCTTGTGAAATCGAAGATTAGACAAAAAAATTAAAACTTGAATTTACTAGAATCATTGTCACAATTCCCCCAAAAGTTGACTTGAGAAAGTATCTAATTTTTGAATCGTTTCAGAATATCCGCCATGTTTTGTCGAAAGTTATCTGTCTTTACCATTTCATCCAATGAATTTTTTTGAAATTTTGTGGTAATATATTTTTGTCTTTGTTATCTGTGCGTGCTATCCACTATTTTTTGATAAATCAATTACATCAGCTTGTGTTTAGTGCTGTAGTGCAGCAAATCTCGGAATATAAGCTCCTGTCTGGGAAGTAACGGTTTGTTTGCTAAATAAATCCTACTAAGTTGAGTTGTTGGCTGGTACAACCGTATACAATATCGTCTTTTAACTTAAAAGCGCTTTTTTAAAACTGGTCACTTTTAAAGATTTGTATTGCTTAGAATATAAATTTTTAAAAGTGACCAGTTTTAAAAAGCGCTTTTAAATTAAAAGAGGATGTTGCATATGGCTGTAGTATAGTTTTTCCAAAGTCAATTAGAACAAGGTGAATATAATTCATAACTGGTGGCAGTGCATTTCTTATGGAAATTTTCAGTGACGAGTCAGCCACCAGTTGGTACCTTGTTCCAATTGAGTTTGGAAATACTATACTACTTTTGTATTTAACTTTTTTTTGGTTAAGTTGTAGAAGCCCCACTAATTATAAGGAACAGACCCTGTACAAATACCCAT